ATATAGAACTTCATTAACATTTAAAACTGTCTTTACTAATAGGAACCAAACCAGCTTCAAATGCTAACTAATGCAAACAGCGGAAGATGCAAATGCGTAGAAAAAACATAAAGTTTTGGCCTTCAATCCATTTACTGGTGACACAGGAAGGTGGAGACCAGTTCAGGCTCTACTTCTAGCCACATAGGTTTACCAGGACTGCCAAGAATAGTGTGGAGCGGGACTTCAGGGTCACGTGATCTCATGGTGTGCTGCCACCATCATCATCCTTGTTCGCTCTTGGCTGCCATGCCACGGCCGGTGGCGCTCCCTCGCAGCCTCCAGAGCCTGTCCACAGCTGTTTTTGTCCTTACGGCTGCCACATCAAAGTTCCACACACCGGAGGCTTGCACAACCCAAGTATATTGTCTGTCGGTTCTGGGGGCTGAAGTCCAAGTGCAGGGTGTTGGCAGATCTGGTTTCTTCTGAGGCCTCTCTGCTTGCCTTGCAGATGGGCTCTTTCTCACTGTGTCCTCACGTGGCCTTTTCTCTGTGCGCGTACCCCTGGCATCTCTGTGTGTCCAAATTTTCTCTTAAAGGACACCAGTCTGTTTGGATTAGGACCCCCGCCCCTTGGCTTCACCATAACTGAATTACCTCTTTAAACCCTGTATCTCCAAATAGGGTCATATTCTGAGGTACTGGGAGGCTCAAGTTTCAACATATAAATTTTGGGGGGATGCAGCTCAGCCCGTAACAGCAGCTCCACACAGCTCCTCTGAACAGATGGCTTTTGCTCTCCACAGGAGGTCAGATTCTGGCTGTGGTAGCAGCCCTTCATCTTCCCTGGAGGGCCTCTCCCTTCCCAGCAGCTCTAGGTGAAGGGAAGGGCTGCTTGGCTCAGCTTGTCGTGGCTATTCCAGAGCCCATCTAGTACCCGCTTCCAAGGGGTTTCTTATGCTGTTCCATCTTGGGTTTCTCCCTCCCCACCGAGCCCCAGACTTCTGCTTTCAAACCTGTGCTCTTCTCTCACCTGGAAAGAAACCTTGCTTGACATCTCCCCTTTCATCACCCTGTTTCTCCTTGTCCCTTCAACTCTAGAACTCTTGTCAGGTTAGTTGACTTCCTGCCTGTTTCCTTGAGAATCTCCTCTGGAGTGATTTCTGATCCAACCGTCTCATGCCGCCTGCCCTCTCACACCTTACCCGTCACTCAGAGCTGGTCACACCTGAAGCCCACTTCCCAGGGCCTGTTCTCCTCCACCCTGGCTTGCAGGGACAGTCCTCCTTCCATCTGTTGAGGTCCACAGCCCTCTCCTTCATCCCAGCTCCTCACCGTGGGCATCACGTAGGTTCAGACCCTGGTCCCTTCCCATCTCTCACTGCATTCTTTCCCCCAAAGAACTGACCCATCCTCGCAGTTTCCATTATGACTGCATGTTTGATTCTGGAGTCTTTCACTTCCAGTCTCCACCACCCTCCCTCTAGAATTCTGATCCTGGGCTTCTAGACTACAAGTGCATTAAATTCTATCATCTACCACATTCACTTGGACCAAACCAAATGCCTCAGCTTTCACTCCCAAAGTCTGTATTCTGTCACCACCATTTTCCCCATTTATCCAAGCCAGAAATCTCTAAGGAATCTTTGTATCTCCCTCTTGTTCACCCCTAAATTGTCTTAACTTCTCTTCTGCCTCATTTGTATTTTCTTTTCTGCTGCCTTTACCAAGCCTGGACCTTCATCACTTCCTCCCCAAAGGATGGCAGTAGCCTCTGAATTGGATAGCCTTGTCCCCCAGGAGATAGGGAGACTGCCAAGGGGTCCTCAAGACCAGCTAGACTGCGGTTTCTGTGAGGATGTCCCCGTTCACTCACAACAAATATCTAGCCCTCAAACCTGGGATTCTAGACCAGCCCTGTGAGGACAGCAATGTTCCGTGTCTGTGCAGCATGGTGGCCATGAGCCATGTGTGGCTATCGTTGAGCACTTGAAACCAGACTACTGTGACCAAGGAACTGAATTCTTTATTTTCTTTAATTTGAATTGTCCCACTGCCTTCACACCAGAGTTGTCTAACCCTAGCCCCACACTCTGGACAGCTTCCACCGGACATCACCCTGATCCTCAACTTGAGCCACTCTGTTCCTGAACCATGGGGCCCTTTTCCTGTCTCCAGTTCAGATATTTCATAGCCTTCAGGTCTGTCCTGTGTGCACACAGCCCACAGTGCACGCTCTTTGTCCTTCATTAAACAACTGCATTGTGTTGGCTGGATAAAAGGTTTTTTTGTTTTTTTTTTTTAAAGTAGGTTCTACGCCAAGTGTAGGGCTTGAACTCGCCACCCTGAGATCAAGACTCTCATGCTCTATGGACTGAGCCTGTTAGGTGCCCCCTGAATAAAACCTTCTGAAAAAAAAAACTTTCTATCAACTTTAATTTTGAAATAATCTCAGACTCAAAGTTGAAATAATCTCAGACTCAAAGTTGCAAAAAAAAAGGGATACAAATAATACTTGTATCCCTTTGCTCTGATTCCTTAAATGTCAGCATTTTAGCATGTTTGCTTTTTCATGTGTTTTTCCCTTTCTCCTTCCTTCTACCTCTCCACACACGTATGCACGTATGTACACATTCATACATATAATTTTTAAGAGAAGTTGAAAGTAAGTTGCACACATGATAACCTCAACACCCAAATATTTTTTTTTAATTTTTAAAAAATATTTTATTTATTTATTTGATAGAGATCACAAATGGGCAGGGAGGCAGGCAGAGAGAGAAGAGGAGGCAGGCTCCCCACTGAGCAGAGAGCCCGATGCAGGGCTCCATCCCAGGACCGCGGGACCATGACCTGAGCTGAAGGCAGAGGCTTTAACCCACTGAGCCACCCGGGTGCCCCCAACACCCAAACATTTGAGTGTATATTTCCTAAAAACAAAGAGAGTTTCTTATAAAAACAAATTTGGTGATCAAAACATGAAATTAACACCGATACAATACTATCATCTAATTTATTGACCTTATGCAAATTTTGCCAGTTGTCCCATCAATATCCTTTATGACAAAAGGAGAAAAAAAAAAGTCTTTCCTCTGGGACACACACCCTGACATTTAAGCCCTTGAGGACAAGCTCTGATTTCTCACATTTGTGTGGTTTTCCTCTCAGCTCCCAGGTTAGGAGTGTGTGCTGACTGGCATTTGCCTGGTAAGTTTCTGTGAGATGGACAGATGGGTGGATAACAGTGACAAGCCAGGGTGCGTTTGGTGGAAGCAGGCCTCACCCTGGACTTCAGCATATACCTATTTGTGGTCAGCAATGTGATCTCAGAGATCGCCTCCTTACACAGTCCTTGTGTGGCTCTCAGGTGGGTAGCCGCACTACCCTCTGTTTCCTACATGCACAGCTGATAATCTACAAAGTCAGCTGATTGGCCTGTGGGCACACAGCAGTGTCCAGGCCAGGACACAGGACTGCTTTTCTGTAATCTGCAGGGGTGAGGCTTTGGGGGTGACTAATTGCTAATGTCACCACCACTCATTCCTTCAGTAAATAGTTACCAAGTGCCTCCTCTGTTCCAAGCACACTGAGTATATAGCAGTGAGCAAAAAAAGAAAGTCTGCCCTCGAAAGCCTTTTACTTCAGAGAGAGGGGAAGGGCGGGCAGTAAATCTACAAGTAAATATATAGTTTGTTATATGGTGCTAAGTGCCACGGGAAGGGGCAGTAATAAAGTGAGGTGAGGGAGAGGAGAAGTGCTGAGCACAAGGGGTTGCTGTAGGACATGGAGTGCTTAAGGAAGATCTCATTGGTTAAGTGACTCTTTCCCATTTTTTTGTTTTAAGGTCTAATTGACATACAGTAAAGTTTACCCTTTCTCGGGCACAGTTCTATGAATCTAGACAACTGCATAAGGTCATATAATTATTGCCATAATCAAAGTATGGTTCCCCCACCCTAAGACATGTCTTTGTGGCCCTTAATGGTCGACCCCTCTCCCCACACCCTGCTAATCTATTCTCTGCCCATGTAGCTTTGCCTTATCTAGAATGAGACATATCAATTGAATTATACTGTTCATAGCCTTTTGAGTCTGGCCTTTCATAGAGATAGATGAATCGTTGAGATTCATCTATGTTCTGTATATCAGTAGTTTGTTCCTTTTTCTTGGTATTTCATCGTATAGCTATACCACAGGTCACCCGTTCTCCAGTTGTGGGATAATTGGGTAAATTCTAGCTTTTGGCAATCACAAATACAACCACCATAACCATTCACGTATAGATACTTGTGTGTGCATAGATTCTCATTCCACTTGGTTAAATAGGTTTTGATTAAAGACCTTCAAGAAAGATGAAGATAAGCCATGAAGATCGCTGAGGCTATTTTTGGCATTCATCATACTGTTATTTAGCCAAATGAGTAGGTTTGTGCTATGAAATTGGTCTGTTTGGGTCATTTTTCTTATTTGAGTTACTTGGAGAGAGTGGAAGCAATGGAGTAGGAAGGGAAGAAACCATTGGTGGGTTCATTCACTTGTTCATTCATTCATTGATCCATTCAGCCAACACTAAAAAATGAAAGCCACTAGTCCACAGTCTGTGACCCTAAGGAAGCCTGAGACCCTTGGATCTACACCAAAGGCTAATTTTAGATGGTTTATCTGACATAATTTCCTTTCTGAATTTCCTGAAGTTTGGGTGAGAGAATAGTTAGCAAGTGTGGAGTCATCATTGTTGAAATGGACAACGGAGACTCAAGCGTTTTTGAGTTCTTATCCCAATGGTGACTCTGAAGTCCCCTCCAGAGGCCCCTCCAGAGGACCCCCGAGACCTGATATTCATTCAGTCATGAGGTTGTCTCTACGGGAGTGCAAGATCTCCTGAAAAACATATTTAAGTGAGACATACTTAAATGAGGGCTCTGCCTGGGGCAGGGGCAGTGGGCAAGTCTCCTAGGATTCAAGAACTTTATGAAAAGCCAGGATTTACAGAAAATAACTTGTGAACATCTTTGTTTCAGGTGATGCAACTGTGAAAAAGAAACCTGCCCCCAAGACGCCTCCGAAGGCAGGTAATTGGTCATAAGCAACATTTGGGGGCAAGGGTCATCTGCCATGAGGTGTTTTTCCTTTGCCCGGCTAGACTGAGCACTGGCATAAGGTCCCAGGAGACCACTGCTGCCCCTCCCTGATTCAAACCCTGTATTATTCAGGCCAGATTTTCCCCAAGAGCCTCTGTACAGCCTGGTCCCCTACCCTCTGTCATTACTTGTCTTTTTTCCTTCCGGGGTAGTGTCTCTAGCTATAGGGACATCATATGGTATCATACAGTACTATGACTTTCCCATCCCTTCTGTGAAATTCTGCCTAACTCTGCCCTCCACGCTGCCATTTAAGGAGGTGATCCACTGTGTGCTATCTTAATGCTCTGGTCTGTATGCCTTTGTCATGTAGAGCCTTGTCTGTTTCCCAGTGAAAGGCATTTGAGGAGGTGGACCCTATTGAACCTGTCAGCCAGGGTAACCTGGCTTGAAGGCAAGGTGCTGCTTAATTAATAGAGTTAGCAGGGGGCCCCTGGGTGGCTCAGTCAGTGAAGCATCTGCCTTCACCTCAGGTGGTGATCTCAGGGTCCTGGGATCAAGTCCCACATCCGGCTCCTTGTCCAGTGTGGAGCCTGCTTCTCCTATGCCCTCTGCCATTTTCCCCTGCTTGTGCTCTCTCTTTGTCTCGCTCTCTGTCAAATAAATACATAAAATCATTTGAAAAAATTAAAGGACTGAGCAGGTATATTAAGAAATTTAGGGTAAGATGCAAATTCCAGAGCAATTGACAACTGGAAAATTCTGCCATGTAGATTGTGTGGGCCATTTCTGAAGAAAAACAAACCTAGCAGGCCCATCAGTTGGACATTCTGGAGCAAAGGCCGCTGTTCTCAGTGTTACCCTGGAGGCTCTAGAAGGCGAGAGAGGAACAGACCAGTGTGGGCAGCAGCACTGAATGATATCAGTCTCTCTGAGGCTCCCTCCTTTGTCCTCTCCCAGCCATGCCCCCTCAGATCGTCCAGTTTCCCGAGGACCAGAAGGTGCGTGCAGGAGAGTCTGTGGAGCTGTTTGGGAAAGTGGCAGGCACCCAGCCCATCACCTGTACTTGGATGAAGTTCCGAAAGCAGGTTAGTGAGGGAGGGGTGTGGCCAAAGAATGACCTCCCCAGCCCCTGTGCCGAAAGGGACCAGAAACGCCATCATGGGCGGCAGCAGCATTTTGATCAGCGGGGCCTTGGAAATGGGAGGGCCCCTCTCCCATCTGTCCCCACCCACCACATCTGAGTTCTTAATAACCTTTTCTTCTGAATCTGCTTTACAGACCCTTTGGGTGACAGAGAACAGTATGAAGGGAAAAAAGGAAACCATTCATGCCCCCCCCCAACCTGATTTTGATATTTTAGTCTAGAATTCTACTCAGAGTCAGGAGAATTGAACCACTGACTGAAAGGACCTCTCAGACCCTGTGAACCTTCTGTGATTCTGGGTTAGCCCACTGAACCCTATCTGTGGTAACCACTTCAGCTTACCAATGCTGAAGGGATAAAAGGGAATCCAACTATTTGAATAGATAAATTGTACATTAACTAGAACCTTGGCTTACTGGCCCGGAAATATACCTTTTCTCATAAGGATCCTATGAAAGAAGGGTCTGAATTTCTGAACAACCAGCTTAAAAGGACATGGGGAGCCCACCGGTTCCACTGGGCCCATGTGGGTAGTGTGTGCCTCTTACATGAGACCAACAAAGGTGCCAGGCGGTGGCTGACACTGAATCAGGAACTTTGCAGAGGATGTGAAGATTTCTTCTGAGTTTTCTGCTGCTCTATTCCAAACCATTCAAACTGCCCTGAGGCCCAGAGATGGGAGGCTAGTACCAAGGAGGCATGGAGGACTGGTCTCAAAAGATGAAGCTGAGAAGCCTGCCTTACCATCCCAAAGGGTGCTTGCTCTGTGCTCTCTCTGGCCTGGTGGTGTCTGAAGGAAGATGGACTCTCTCCTTTTTCAGAGACATTTGGCCAGGTCCCCGCCGGGGACAAAAGAACTTTCTCTGGTGATGGATATGTTCTGTATCCATTATCCAATATGGTAGCCACCACTGTAGGTAGCTACTGAGCATTTAAAATGTGACTCGTGCAACTGAAGAACAGACTTTGAAATTGTAATTAATTTAAAATCCTTATAACAGCTTTGTTATATACACCATAACATTCAGACACCATAAAATTTGACCTTTTCAAGTGTACCATTCAGTGGTTTTCAACCATTTCAGTTGTGTAACCATAACAATGATCTAATGCTGGAACATTTCCATCATCTCAAAAAGAAACCCTGGACCCATTAGCAGCCATTCCTCCCTTTTCCCCAAGCCCTGGCAACCACTAACTTACTTTCTGTCTCTATGGATTTGCCTACTGGGGGCATTTCATATAAATGTATTCTTTCATGTCTGGCTTGTTTTACTTAGCATAACATTTTCAGGGCCTATCCATGTTGTAGCATACATCAGTACTTCGTTCCTTTTTCTGGCCGAATAATATTCTATTGTCTGGATAGGCCACAGTTTGTTTATCTGTTCATTAGTTGATGGACCTTTCAGCTATTTCTGCTTAATTAAAACTTAAGAAGCCACATGTGGCCGGTGGCTCCAGTATTAGCATAGGAGAGGTCAGAACACACTGGGGTTAGGTGACTGCTCAGACAGCTTCTCCTGCCCTCCCTCCCAAAGCCCTGAAGCTATGGGACCCTCCCCAGCTCTGGGTTGGGCAGCAAGGGCAGACACAGTCCATCCATCAGGCCGTGCTCGGCACGCTCCCCGCTCACCCCAGAGCTGGAACCCCTCAGGGAGGCTTAGCTTTGGACGCAGAAGAGGAGGGGCCAAAGGGGAAGCCCGGGGTCTAGACAAGACAGAGCCTCATACAGCCTGTCTACAGCCTTCCCTAAGGGTGGGGAGTGGAGGTCAGAGCCCTCTTCCCTTCTTGGCCCAAGTCTCTAGCACCTGTCCCACTGTCTGCTCCCAGATCCAGGAGAGCGAGCACATCAAGGTGGAAAACAGCGAGAATGGCAGCAGGCTCACCATCGTGGCCGCACGCCAGGAACACTGCGGCTGCTACACTCTGCTGGTGGAGAACAAGCTGGGCAGCAGGCAGGCCCAGGTCAACCTCACTGTCGTGGGTGAGTCTGGGGATGGGTTGGCCTAGGGGTCAGAGGACAGTAGGATGATGGGCCTCTGGGCTTCATGTCCCTGGGGCCCACTCCTTCGGCACCCTGCCCACAGCCTCACATGCTCCCGTGTTCCCTCTCCCTGCCCCCTCTCTCTGGCTGGACTTCGTGCTTCTGGAGAAGCCCAGACCTTACCGCACACCCACAGCATTTTCCTCTTCCTGTGAACCCCCTCCTGGCTTCTTTCTCTCTAGTCTTTGGGAAACCTGAGCTACACTACCCCAGACCCGTTGCTCTGGCACCTTGCTCCCTGTCGCTGTGGTCCACCCCCTTCCCTCTCCCCGGCCACCGGTCCCTTTGCCAGTCCTCGCCTTCAGGCCGTGCTGCCTTCCACGTCCTCCTGTGCCTGCTTCTGGGGGCACTGCAGGAAGAGGATCACGAGCCGCAGACTCAGTGCTCCCTCGCCGGTGTCAGCCGGCTCAGTGTCCTCCCTGCTTCTCTGGCTTCCCTGAGGAATTGGAGGTGGTAGGCATGAGCTTTCACCACCTCGTGGCCCGCGCCTACAGGTATCTGTATATCTGTGCCCCTTCCTTTGTCTTCACCTCCTCTGCTTCTCCCGGAAACATTGACAGGGCTTTCCCATCCCAGCCAAACACGCAGGCGCGTGTACACCTGCAGGATCCTGTCTTACTCTGGCCGCCCTGCCGCATCTCTGCCGCCTGCACAGCCATGCCCCCTCACCGGGGCCAGTCTCCACTTTGATCCTGCTTCTTCGCCCCCCTGAGGCCTCCCTCCCACCCCCGTGAGTCTGCTGGGACCACCCTTTCAAGATCACGGTGACCTCCCAGTCCTACCTCCACTTCTTTTTCACCTCCTGCCATATGGAGTTGAGTCTCTCTCCAGACTGATTTTTAAGCTCACTTTTTCCTCTCCGTCCCAGTCACTGTCTTTCATGCCCTGGGGGACTGTCTCCTGAAATGTCCAAATACCTTGCTAACTGGTCCCACACTGTGGGTTGTGCTCGGGCCCTTGAGCCCTGACATGGCGGGCACTTGGGACAGCCAAGGAACAGTAGATGAAGGACTGGGCAGGTGGACAGCAGGCCATGTGCCTGTGCACCTGTGGCCATCAGAGACTGTGTGCGTAAAGGCCTTTGGCCTCGCGGTGGCTGATCTGATCCCCTTTTTCTGCTGCTGTAGATCAGGAGTTTTAACTCTGGGAAGGCCAGTGTGCTAAGGGGTCAGGGAATAGGTTTCTCATCTATAAAGACAGGAGACACATTTTTCTCACTCTTTCTCTCTTTGGTGACTCCGGATGTTCATTTCGATGATTGTCCCCCAGGAGGCAAGACTATATGGGGGCTTGGGAAATTGGCCCTAGTGACCCAGTTGGCCTACACATTGAGACGTGTACCTGAAGTATTGACTTGGCTCCCCTCTCCCGGCATCAGCAGGCATTGGTTTCCTGTTTTCCTTGATGTTCTCTTATCTGCCCCAGCTTGGGGAACCTGGAGGATCACCTCCTTTGAGCTGATCTCCCGTGACCAGCGCCCCTGCCCCCGCTCTGACTTGCCCTGCGGTGCCACATGCGCCCCTCCCCCAGGCCCACCGCGGGGCTGTGCTTCTGGCCTTTTATGGTTTCGTTTCTCATTCTCTGCGGCCAGTGCTGACAGGGCTTTGGCGTGGCTGCCCGCCAGCTGGCAGGAGCAGCATGTTAAATGCCGTCCTGGGAGGGGAATGGAATGGAGGGGAACGGGCTTTCTGTCTGCCTCCCCCTCGGAGAGCTAAGAATAGAACGGTTCAATAAATGGGGAACTTGCATTGATGGACCCAGCAAAGCCGCATTCATTCAGAGCCCGTGGATTTAGCCTTAGTCCACAGTAAACCTGGCTTAGGGCCAGATTTCCCTGCGTGGCTCTGGGGGCATCTGGGCATTATCTGATCAGGGCTTATTAAGTAGATGTCAGATAGAAATGGGACGATGAAACAGGAATTGTTTGGGCAACTCCAGACCCTTTTCGAGCACTCTGGAAGCATCCGTCTGCAGGCCGGCTGACTGAGGCCGACTTAACTTCGACTGGTTAGCAGGAAACTTCTCTTGTCTGTCCTTTAAAAATACCATTTTCTTTTCATCGAGGCTATGACTCCTGTTTTTTTTTTTTAAATGGTAATAAAAAGTAGCCTTTCCCTGGGTTCCTTTGAATGAGTGTTTAACTATTTTGAAAGGCAGCACAGGAATTGGTGGCCTTCTGAGAGCCTCTGCCACAATGGCCCTTCCAGCTCTGCCACGGGACAAGGGAGGGAGGGGCCCCAGAGAGCTGCTGGCCCAGATGCATTCCTTCCAGTAACTTGTCCAGCTAGGGGAAAAACAGGTCACTTTGCATATCTTTAAAGGAGAAAAACCAAGTCCAGAGAATCTGCAAATACCCAGTAATCCCCAACTACTCTGAGCTTGGAACTCGCTAATTTTAAGGGCAGGAGATTTCCCCTTGTGGTGCTTGGCATGGGTTTAAGCAAGATGCTTCTTGATCTTATTCTGCCTGATAGCTTGTAAAAAAGCAGGCCCTCGAACAAGGCTCTGGAGATGTCCTGGAGTCTCCTTTGGGCTCTGCCACTCGCTAGCTGGGTATTCTTAGCAAGCAAAGTGCCTCAGCTTTCAAGGGCCAGGATCATCCAATAGATGACCCTGGTGATAGGGTGGTCACTAGGAATGAAAGTCCCCCTTCCTCAATTTTTCATCTTCTCTTGTGCGACAGCGGGCAACACATATCATATGTCAGTCTTTCTGACCCTTTCAGCCAAGAGACATCTGGAACAGGGTAGGGCACAAGTAGTACCTCTTTTGCAATACCCATTTCTCAACATTGGCTTCACCAACACAGAGGGGAGAAAAATCAGTCAGGGGAGTGTATGTGCATTTGTCTTATAAACCTACACGACTCTAAACGTGTCCAACAAGACACTTCCCAGGCAGTTTTCTTTGGGGGAAGCAGTGAGTCTGTCTTTCATCCCTCTTTGGACTTTTTTAACTTCCTTAGCTGGGTCTTGAGAGGACTTGAAGCACTTGCCTCTACAAGAGTTTAGAGCAATAAACATCTTAGCCAACACCAGAAATATTTCTAAAAAGACTGATACATCTTTCAGAACAAATAGTTTTTCTAAGAGAACACTTTAAACAACCAGTGAAAGTGGTTCCATCCCAGGAGGCCTCCAGAGTGACTGCCAATGGTGGGAGGTAGTTCTACCACGATCCCAGAAACACTCCACATAAGGGGGCTGTGAGGGGATGGGCGGTCTCTGGGCAAGGCAGCCATAGAAAGGACAGAGAAGCCGTGGGGCCTGGGGAACCAGGGAGGATGAATACGGATATGTGTATGTACATGTGTGTCACACACACACACACACACACACACACGACGGAATGTTTGTTTTCTCCCCTGTCTGCACAAAGTCATTTATAAGAATTCTCTTCGGCTTTCCAGCCTTGCTGAAGGGAGGGTGAGTAGGAGTCAAGGTCTTTACCTGGCTTTGCTTCCTTGGATGTTTACAAAACCCCTACCAGGTAGATACACATTAGCACCATTGTCCAAATAAAAAAGAGGAACTAGAAGTCTGGAACCTTGAAGTCAAGGAATTTGCTCGAGGTCACATAGCTTATAAGAATGACATAGCATGAAAAGCATGGTTTTAATTGCTGGTTTGGGAAACCCTACACCTCAGACTGCCTTGGCGGGGGCAGGTTGGGGGGTAGATAGAGGTTACTGGATACTGGTATCTATAGCTGAATCAGCCACCTATGAAAACAAAATCTGAAAAACAGGAGAATTTTGTTCAGAGGAGTGGCAGACAGAATCAGCAAAACTCTGAGGCCTGACCAAAGTCTAGGCTGGCATGATCTGCCTGGAAGTGGGTGGCGTCACTGGTCTGAGTGGGAAGGCAGCCTGCTCCTGTTCCAGGCCTAGTCTGGGATGGTTGTGATTCACTACTGTGGTTTGCTTTTGAAAGTCTTTCTCATTTTATCCTGGTCCTATGAGGATAAAAGAGGTGGGGTAGAAGTAATGTTTTACATATTACAAAGTGAGAAATAAACTCCCCCCAAAATGAGAGTGATGATACACGCCAGCCCCTTGTCCAGGAACTTCTCACAGCTGCCTTGTAATCCAATCACTGTTATTTTCCACATCACTTACAGACCTGGAAACTGAGGCACAGAGAGGTTAACAAGTAGTGAGTGGAGACAGAGCCCTGTTCAGACCCAGATTGTCTTGACCTCAGAGCTCGCTGTGCTATTCCACCTCTCCATGGGGCAGGCGTTTCCCAAGTCCCGGAGAAAGTGGGGACTGACCCTCGTTATGTCACAGGCCACTGGCCTAGGGCCTGACAGACACACACACGCACACATTAAATTCTCTCTCAAAACATACTTGTGATGGGAAGCAGTCCACGCCTTCTGGGCAGCTTCCTAGATCTGTTTACTCAGAGAAATATGTTTAGGACTGAGGCAAAGTACAGGAAATCATGACTTGTAGGCTGGAAAACCGGCCAAAAAAAGAAGGGGGTTTTCGAGCAAATAGGTATTTGCGGGGCTTTGCGTGTTTGTGTGTTTGTACACAGGTGTGACCGTGTAGGTGAGGAGAGGAGAGCCAGGACCAGGGCTGTCGGCTCCGGTTCTCTGGGCTTTTCCTCCAAGACAACGCTAATCCAGAAACATTCTTTCCCTGCAATTCTGAAGACGTGGGTGATGTGCTTCTCTGTCCCCAGACAAGCCAGACCCCCCAGCCGGCACGCCCTGCGCCTCTGACATCCGGAGCTCCTCGTTGACCCTGTCCTGGTATGGCTCCTCATATGACGGGGGCAGTGCCGTGCAGTCCTACAGCGTCGAGATCTGGGACTCGGTGGACAAAACGTGGAAGGAGCTAGCCACATGCCGCAGCACCTCTTTTAACGTCCAGGACCTCCTGCCTGACCGAGAGTATAAATTCCGTGTGCGCGCCATCAATGTGTATGGAACCAGTGAGCCGAGCCAGGAGTCTGAACTCACAGCAGTGGGAGAGAAACCAGAGGGTAGGCTGCCTTTATTTTATCACTGGCTTGAAATATGTGTGTATGGCTTTCCTTGTGTATGTAGAAACCTGTACTGAGAGGGGTACCGAGAACCGAGGAGATGTCAGTGATGGCTGGCAGAGTCTTTGGGGATCTTGGTTTCCAGGATGGTGATGCTGATCCATGCTTTAAAAGAGGTACTTGTGTGACTCTTCCAGACATTGGACCAGCAATTTTGGTACCCTGCCACCAGGGGGCGATGGTGTGTTAATCAGAAGCGCAGTCCTGGAAGGCAGGAGTTCCTGGGGACCTAAGTTTTAACTTTCCCCTGCATCCACCTCCCTCCTTCTCTCATGCTTCTATCTCACTGTCTACTCGGTGTTGAGTTCTTGGAACACAAAGACAGATTAGACAATGGGCTTAAATCTTCAGTAGGAGGACAGCTGCGTAGACAGTCACTGTGATGAGATGGGATACATGAAATTATAGTGGTGTAAACAAAAAGAGGAGGAGACACAGCAGAAAGCATGAATAAGTTTGCCATGAAGGTGGAGGAAGGCTTCCTAGAGGAGGTAACACTTATGTGGAGTCTTGGGGAAAGGAACGGACTTCCAAGAGGCAGGGAAGATAAGGAGAGGCATTCCCCATGGAGGAAACAGCATGAGCAAAGGTGCAAAGTGTTGGAAAAACATGGCATTCTGAGAAGCTTGTGCCGGGGTATATGCTGTGTGAGTCAGAACGGGAGGAAGCAACCCGAAGGGCAGTTTAAGTTACATTGTGAAGTTCATCCCAGATTTCTAGGCAGGGGACTGATATGATCACATGAGGTTTTTTTAAGAAAGAGAATTAGAGGAAGAGTAGAGCTTTGCTACCCAAACTGCAGTCTGGACCAGCAGTCTTGGGATCTCAGCACTTGCTGGAAATGTAAACTCTTGGCCCCTCCCCACCCCTGATCCCTTCTGAACCCTCATTTCAATATGATCTACCCCATGGATTCAGATGCATGCCGCAGTTGGGGAAGCACCCAGGGAAGGACGGGATGACACTGGAGTTGGCAAGATACCAGTGGGACCTCTGTGGTGTAGTTCAGGTGGCGAATGGTCCGGCCATGAATGAAGGCCTCAGCCGGTAGAACCGACCATTCTCAGTGACTTTTTGGGTAGACTTGGAGGAAAAATTAGAAGAGTACAAGATGACTCCCAGCTCCTGGCTTAAGTAACTGAACACAAATTTTCTATTTTGTTGTTGTTGTTTGTTTGTTTAAAAATCCACTGCCTTTTTTTTTTTAAGATTTTAAAAATTTATTTATTTGAGAGAAAGAGAGCAAGAGGGAGAGAGCATGAGCAGGGATAGGGATAGAGAAAGAGGGAGAAGCAGGCTCACCACTGAGCAGGGAGCCCAATGCGGGGCTGGATCCCAGGACCCCAGGATCATGACCTGAGCAGAAGACAGACGCTTAACTGACTGAGCCATCCAGGCACCCCGAACACAAATTTAAGAGCCATTTATTATTACGGTTCTTGGTGGCTAACATATATCAAGCACTTGCTATAGGCTAACAGTGTGGGCAGCCCTCTACGTGCATCATTTCCTGCATCTATCTCAGTGAAGTAGCTGCCATTATTACCCCCATTTTACAGATAGGAGAAATGAGGTTTACAGGGCGAACCTACGTGCCCAAGATCACAGAGCCTGTAATGTAAATGGAGAGCTATCTGACCTGAAGCCTGTGCTCCTTTGGGAGTAGTCAGACTGCCTCCCAGGGACTGGAGGTTAGGCAGTGGGGAGTCCCAGAGAAGACACAAGTTCTGGTCTCAGTCCTGTGTGACTGAGGTGACTGAGGGCAATCCAAGTGTCCTCAGACTACTGACTTGAATCTAGAGCTCAGAAGAAGGCTTAGGTCAGAGCTAAGGATTTGAGAGTCTTACTGTTTAACTGATAATTGAAGCCACGAGCATCAGTGAGGTCCCCAAGAGGGTGGTAGGAAAGTCACCACAGATACATGGAGACGAAGGAGCCTGCAAGACCAGAAGGAAGGGCAAGAGGGAGAGCACCAGGAGAGGATGGAGCCAAGCTGAAGAAACACAGATATTGTGAGTCACTGAGAGGGCTCAGGGAATAGCCACCAGCACTAAATACAGAAGGAGATGAGGTCTCCTGGATTTAGCCCTTCTAGACACAGCCATCTTTGAGAATGAAGAGCAGAGTGTTTCCACAGGGTGGAAAATGGTTACCCTGGGATAAGGAATAAGTGGGAGAAGGAAAGGCCAAGAGGGTGGAATATTTTTTCAGGAAGTTTGGTGTGAAGAGAAGCAAAAGGCTGCCATGAATTCAAGGTGGAGAAGAGGCTGGGGGTGGGGAGGAGGGACACCAAGGAAAAGAGCACCGGGAGAGGGAGAGCTTCAGGTTGTGAGACAGAGAGAAGGGAGAGTAAAGGACAGGGCCTGTCTGAAGTCATCACGGGACCAGAGGCCTCTTGAGTATGGGACGGCCATTACGGTTTGATGTCCTTTGGTGAGAAAATCAGATATAAAATAGATATTCAAATCTTGCTTTCATATGAAATGAGGGCTCCAGAAATAAATCGGAGGACACCAGTGGAAAACACACCAGATTTATAACGTTGCAGGTACAGCCCTGTCTTGGGGGCTTTTATCTGGCAAGCCAGGGAATGTGGAGGCTGTGGAGGCATGGATCCCAGCCCCTGGGACAGGCCCACTGGGCCTCCCTGCAGCTGTCCTGGGCTCCTGGGCTCCTGCCCACCAGCGACTTGCAAATGTCTGCTGGGGGAGCCGGTAACAGAACGGCTATCTGCCGCCCTTTGACGCCCCCCCCTTCGAAATGAGCTGGCATAGGCAGGTTAGCTTGGGGGCAGTGGGGTCTCCAGATCAGGCACTCAGTTTTATGTTTTTAGCATATTGCTTTGTTCAAGAAGAGTACTCCCCACCTCTGGAAAAGTGAGAAGGAAAGAGATGACAGGGCAGTGAGAAGATGTTCCTTAGCTGGAAAGGAGCTCTTCCAGGTCGTCTCTGGAGGAAACCCAGAGAAACTGTAGAGTTCCTGAAAACCCCAAAAGATGAAGGCCATGAGTGCTGTAAGGTGTGACTCCCAGGAGGCCAGGACAGCAGCGCCCAGGGCTGGAGGGAGAGTCTGTGGGGACCAGGGGCTAGGACTGCTGGGCTCTGGGCAGGTTGCCCTCCCCGTCCTCCCTGCAGCCAAGCCAAACCCCTGCTGTGGTCCTCAGACTCTCTTCCTAGGGCCCCTCCTGGCTGGGAGCAAATGAAAGGAAATGCAAAAATAGCCTGCAAGCCCAAGGAGGGGTCCAGGCCACCCAGAGCTTTCAGACTGGAAGCTGTTCCCACCTCCAGGCCCAGCTGGATTACCAGGGAGGAGGGGCAGGCAGAAGAGTTGTGGGGCATTAGGACTGAGGGGCACAGGACAGAGGGATTGGGAAGGTGGGCTGAAGGGAAGTGGGGGTTCCAAGTCAAGCCCCCCGTGGATGGGTCAGATGCTTGTTAGTTATAACCTGGGTCGGTCATCTGTCTACTTTAAAAGGGAAATGGCTCACAGAGAAGTGGGGTGTGTTTGCACACGTGTGTGAACTGCATGTGTGCATGGGTGCGTGTGTAGGTAGAGGAGGGATGAGAGGGGGGTTTTGGTGGCTCCTCTCCATGGAGCCAGTGGTCTGTGGTGGTCATCGAAACAGCAGTGCCAACTCACTCTCCCTCCACTAAGCCCAGCTAACATCGGCTGTCCCCTTCCCCACTGCCACCAGGACCCCTCCCGCCTGTGCCTTAGCAGCTTGGGTTTTCCTCTTCATCCTGATCTCCCCGTTCTAACCCTGCTAAGCACCCCAACCCCACCCTACATTCACTCCCCCAGTTTATCCTGCACCCCTCCTGTGTTCAGGCACTGTTTGGCTGGCACAGGACAAAGCACGATGTCCTTCCCCCCACACCAGCTTTAGTGGCCTCCTTATGTGACAGCTGCCCCTCACACTAGAATCCCTAACCCAGTTAGCTCCCCACCCTGTCTTCCCAAACCTGGGTAAACAGAGCCACTAGCCCAGTACACCCATCCTCTCCCGTCCCAGCCAGGCCTTCATCTCCACCCCACCCTACCCCTGCTCTGACTCTTCAATCCACTCTATCCTTGCCCCCATCCTAATTTGTTCTAGAATATATAGTTGCTAGTGAAACAGCAGGGAGGAAGACTCCTTGAGGAGCTAGGGCTTCCTTGCAAGCCTGAGGGCAGTTAGAGATGCAGAGCCCCTGAGGGCTACAGATCAGCCTCCCTGGGCGGCTGGCCCAGTCTGGGGCTGCAGAGGCCTCTCTGGGGCGGGGGTGCCCTCTAGTGCCCATTGGGCATGGAACAGCCCTTGGCCCTGGAGAGCTCCGTCCAGGGGGCTGCCTAAGGTATGCCGCGTGGGAGTCCCCAGGGCACATCTGGTCCTGTCCCAAACACTACTCCAGGGGCATGAGACTTATCTGCTTGCCGAAAGAGCTCAGAACCATCTTCCAAATAGTTCTTGTGCTTAGCTCGTGGATGTCCTAGCTCTTTCTGAATAGAAGGTTTTTGAAACCTCTTGTTGAAATCCCTCCTGCTGTGTAGTTCAGCTCCTTCTGTGGCGGAAAGATGGAAACTGAGTGGTCACCCCTCCCATTACTACAGCCCTTTATTCTTGAAGGCCTGGCTAATCCAACTGTGGCCTTTCCCCAACTCCTACCCTGCTCGTCTCCTTAGGGCCACATCCCCCTCCAAGCAGAGTGGAGGCGGAACGAGAAGGAAAGGGAAGAAGGGAAACCTCTCAGCCTGGAGTCTTGGTCCGTTTCAAACAGAGGAAAAGTGGTGGAACAGTGAGCCCGAAAGAGGGGCATGACTTCCCTGAGAAGGATCTAGGTCCCCACAGCCATAGCATCAGGAAAGCCATCTGCGTTTCAATTGCCAAGGGAGAAAGGCAGAGGTGAAGGGCGGATGTGGTGTTTGCAGTGAGGGCCAGAAGGCCAGCCCTGTCATGTCTAACACTGGGAAGAGGCCAGTTCTAGAACGGCATGCCTTCTCCAGGACTCCCCGCAGGGTGCCCCCAGGTGCCAGGCCGTTGGAAAGCCCCATGTACAGCTGCTGCCCCCTCACTAGGGAAGCACAGACAGTTCTTACTAAAGCTGCCAGGCCTACACAGCCCGCCTTCTCCTTTATCTCTTGTCCCACTGCTCATTCCACAGCAGGACGAGTGGCATGGGAATGAAAAGAAAAGGGGATGCCTCATTGGGTGAACTCTCTCAGAGAGGGTACCATGGGCCAGGACGCTAGGCCTCCCCAACAGTAAAGGTCACTATTATTGTTAGTATTTTGTCTCCAGGGTCCAGCCAGTGAAGCAGCCGTTGTGAAGGACTCGAACCCCTTGGTTCCCTTAAAGCCCCATCCGAAGTGCCCTAAACTCCTGCTGACCCTATTTATCATTCTCATGGTGCATCTGGAGATGTGAGTTCTTATGCCTACAGCCTTCCTCCTGTGTGAGGAATCACACGAGATCATTCTCTCAAGTTACGGTATTGATTAGCTGATAAAAATCAGTTACTTTGGGGCGCCTGGGTGGCTCAGTGGGTAAAGCCTCTGCCTTCAGCTCAGGTCATGATCCCAGAGTTCTGGGATTGGGCCCTGCATCGGGCTCTCTGCTCAGCAGGGAGCTTCTCCCTCTCTCTCTGCCTGCTTTTCTGCCTACTTGTGATCTCTCTTTCTCTCTCTGTCAAATCAACCAAGCAATCAATCAATCAATCTTTAAAAAAAAAATCAGTAACCTTAATCTCACCCTTGGCCATTGAAATTGTTAAAAAGTAAGGGTGTCTCATTCAGTTGGGTGTCTGACTCTTGATTTCAGCTCAGGTCATGATCTCAGGGTCCTGGGATCGAGCCCCACATGGGGCTCTGCGCTGAACGTGGACCCTGCTTGAAATTCTCTCTCTCCCTCTCTCCTGCCCCTCTCCTCTAAAAAAAAAAAAATCTCCACTTTAGACTTTTTCCCAACCAGGGAGGCCTAACCATGTCTGCTCATCTCCCCACAGCAGCTCTTCCTTTCAGTGGCTTTCCATGCCTCCCCAGCCCTGCTGTGACTTTTTAAGTGCCTACGGCCCCAGTTCCAGCAGCAGATGACCCCAGGCTCTGCTGGGGGCAGAGTGAGAATACCTGCTTGTGGCCAGTGCACATTTCCCCTCTACCTGCCTTGATGGCGTTCTGTTGGCCAGAGCAATAAGAAGGCTGAGAAACTGGGCTCGCCACACTTGGGTTTTAACTAGCCGCCCTAGGGCTTGTTACCCCTAAATGTTGAATAATTAAATTCTCCCTGAAATGTGACTCCGTTACTGCCTTCCAGGTGTGGCTCCCTGGGCATTCTAATGGTCTACGAACTGACAAGGTCACTCTCCACTCTCAAGTGCAAGTGTTGCTCGGTTAGAGCAAGAAGACTTGCGCGGTTAGGCTGCTGTCCTGGAGCTCTCTGTGAAACCCCCACCACTAACCGAGGAGTTCCCATCTCTCCTACCCTTTTTATGGTTCCAGAGCATTTGCCTTCTTGTGACAGAATATTCTTCCCTGTCCCAGTGATGTTTAGTTTTTCATTTCCTCAGCAGCACTTTAAGGACTCTAAACAAGGGGCTCCTGGGTGGCTTGGTCCGTTAAGCTCAGGTCATGATCTCGGGGTCCTGGGATGGAGCCCCAAGTCAGGCTCCCCACTCGGCATGGAGTCTGCTTCTTCCTCTCCCACTGCCCCTCTACCCTGCTCATGCTCTCTCTTTCAAATAAATAAAATCTTTAAAAAAAAAAAAAAACAAAAAAAAAAAAAAGACTCTAAACAAATTGCAGCCTCTCTTGATCCCGGAAGACTTATCCATAGGATGAGTGCTGTCCCTTATCACACCCTTTCCCCAAAGTCTGATTCTCTCACACAGACACAGACACGCGCACACGCGCGCACTCTGTAAAATCTCTGTCCTCCCTCACTGACTTCTCTCAGTTCTTTGTTCTATCTCCTCAGGAAACCTGCCTTGTCTCCATCTGTCTGTGAAACATAGCCCACATCATGACTAAGGAGCACAGAGCACATCACAAAATATGGCACCTAGAGCTAGCCAGTGACACTAGAAATCATCTAAAAATACACCTCCCCTTTTACTGAAGAGGAAACAGGGACCCAGAAAGGGAAAGGCTCTCAACCAAGGTCAAAAAACATTAGTGGCTCCATAGGGACAAAGCTATGCCTAGGGAAGGGAAAGCCCGGAGGGGCACCTGGGTGGATCAGTCCATTAACCATCTGCCTTCGGCTTGGGTCATCATCCCAGGGTCCTGGGATGGAGCCCCACTTTGGACTCCCTGCTCTGCAGGATGCCTGCTTCTCCCTCTCCCACTTCCCCTGCTTGTGTTCCCTCTCTCACTCTCTCTCTCTCTGTCAAATAAATAAATAAAATCTTTAAAAATAAATAAATAAGTAAAAATAAAAGGAAAGCCTGGAGCTCTGATGTGAATTTGTTCTGATGGACACTGACTGTCCCCTCATGCTTCCCCCCATTCACTTCTGACACATCCATGTGAACAGCCAGTGTGGGCTGCTTATGTCCCTTCTCGCCACACCTCTCAAACACCTGCTGGCTTCACTGTGTGCCCTCACCCACCTTCCCATTGTGTTCCAGCATTTCCTTTAAGACCCAACTCAAGGGCTTCTTCTTCCCAGAATAATTCCTCTGACTTACAGTTGCCCTATTTTATATCAACATCCTGCCCTGTATGTTCAGTTTGTGCTGTGATGTCATATGCAGGGATTTCAGGGGGATGTAGTTCTCCCTCCCCAACTCAACTGTAAGCTCCAGGAAGGAGAGATCATTCCTTCTGTGTATTTTGTTTGTATACCCTCAGTAGCTTGTATGATACCTGGTACACGGCTAGAACTCCAGGTACCATTATCTAAGTAAATGGATAAATACGTTTGATACTCAGAGCAATTTAAGTTGCTGACTTTCGAGCCGAGCAGAAAGGGGCTGTCACAGTTATGTTGGTTCTGAAAGTCGGAGAGCCTGGGAGCACTGTGAAGAAGGGTATGTCTAGGGGATCCTGAGGTTACAGAGCAAGAAATGGAGGTGACTGCTTGTGAAGAAGCTGCTGGGTAGGCTGAGGCTGTGGTGTGTCCATGGCCCTGGTGCAGTGGGGACTGACCCAAGCCTATGGCCATTCCCAGTGCTTTGGGCTTCGTGGTCTTGGGCCTGGGAAGCCTGAGGTCTGACAAGTCCCCCAGCATGTTTCGTTCTTGATGGTCCTTCCCTAATGATCGCTGTGTCCTCTGTTTTCCTCCCTGTCTCCCCCCAGAGCCAAAGGACGAAGTAGAGGCATCAGATGATGGTGAGTGCAGGCCACCTGTCCTCAGGTAGACTTGAGGCATGGGTGGAGGGGGGGCGAGAGAGGAATCTGACAGTTCACAGTCACCCCACCCTCACCCCGCAGATGAGAAGGAACCTGAGATCGACTACCGGAACGTGACCGTCAACACTGAACAAAAAGTGTCTGACTTCTATGACATCGAAGAGAGACTAGGCTCGTAAGTGGAACGGGAAGTGTCTTTCGGGCCCCCAGGGTGGGGTGGCACAGATCCCGTCATTAAGTTCCATGCCTTGTGTCCCCATCTTTTCCTGGGTTTTGCCAACCTCCCATGCCGAGACCCCCTGCAGAAAGAGGAGGTGCAGTACCAGTCAGCAACCCACAAGGGCATCCCCCCCAGACCCTCTCAGCTACTGCTGGTGCAGCTGGCTCAGGTCCAGGAGAGTCTTGAGCAAGGCCTTCCTTTCCTGTGCCTTCTTCCCCCAACCCCCGCACGGGCTAACAAGGCACCACCGGGGGTCTGGTCGGACTGTCTGAGGCTGCTGTCCGTGTCATCGGCAGGAGGCAGGCAAGTCTGAGCCATCTCGCTGTTCAGCAGTCATAGCTTTTGTGCATCTGTAAAGCCCACAGCCTTGAAAGGCACAGCTGCTCACCACTGCTCGCTTTAGGAACCTGGTCTGCGCTGTTTGCTCTGGTTGTCCCCTGGAGTGCAGACACCCCAGACCTGAGCCCTCACACCCTCCCCTCTAGCAGCAGCCCCCACGGCTGCCTGTCTCCCACTAACTATCCCTGGAGAAGCCCAGTGGAGGCCAAGGGGGTGGGGTTCAGGTTTGATTTCTAGGAGGTTTCTGGGAAATAAAAGGATGACACCAACCTCACCAGAGTTGCCTACAAGGCGCCTGCCCTGCCCATGGGAGCTGGGTCAGAGGAACACCGCACTCCTCTCTCCCACCATGGACAACAGGGACCTTCCTGGGCTGTCTCCAGGACCCCATGCTGGACACTGGAGCAGAAGGAAGTAGCCACTCAGAAATTCTCGGTAGCTGGGGAGGACTTCCTCCACCTGAAGTCACAGGTCCATGTTTGGCGAAGGAGAGAGAAGTCCATCAGCCAGGATGGAGGCTTCAGCCCAGACAGAGGAGCGGGCCTGGGTGGGGATTGGGTAGGGATGCAGGCTGGGCTGGCCACGAGGTTGCCGGTGAGGGAGAGGAGGGTTGTCTGAGCTAGAGGGGCACCCCATGATCAAGGGCAGGCACTGGCAAACTTTTCTATAAAGGGCCAGATAATGGCTAGGTGAGGTTTTGGCAAAGCAGAAAAATGGCCATGGGCGAGATGCACACGCACGAGCGTGGCTGTGCACCAGTAACATCTTATTTCGAAAAAGAGGTGGACTAGATTTCTCCCACAGGCCATCACTTGTCAGCCCCAGTGTAGTGGAAAGCTCGGCTCAATTTGCCTTTTCTCTCCTCCTCCTTTCATTCGCAGTGGGAAATTTGGACAGGTCTTTCGACTTGTAGAGAAGAAAACTGGAAAAATCTGGGCAGGGAAATTCTTCAAGGCATATTCCGCAAAAGAGAAAGAGAATATCCGGCAGGAGATCAGCATCATGAACTGCCTCCACCACCCCAAGCTGGTCCAGTGTGTGGACGCCTTTGAAGAAAAGGCCAACATCGTCATGGTCCTGGAGATGTGAGTGGTGGGCTGCGGGCCCAGGACCCCTTGCGCATCTCCCCCACTGTCCACACCCAGGCCCCTCTGCCCCAAAGTGGGGAGCACTGCAGCTAGAGCTGTAGCCTGAAAGAGCCTCCCCACCCCCAGTGGCCGGGGGACACCCTCTAGAACAGCACATCTGTACACAGGAGTGGCCCTCACCCACTGACCTCCAGCCTATGGCAGCCCTCGCTTGTTTCCATAACAGATTGGCAGATCTTTGAGGACCCCTGCCCCCTTTTGCCCCCACCTCCCTGTGAACATGTCAAGGTTAGCCCTAGGCTCCGCATCTGCATTCAGGGGCTTTGACTTAGAGGTGGCTTTGGAGGAGAAAGGGAGGGACAGAGCAATTTCCTGACTGGCCTTCAAAAGTAGACGTACCCAGGGTGGGGGGCTTGGGATGTGGGGTGCAACCCTGTGTTCTGCAGTCCCCCATCGTGTGCTTGTTTGTACTTTGACTTCTCACCAGAGGGTAGGTAGTGCTTTCTGGGCTGGGCTGTCCACACACAGGGGACGGATCAGATGCCCTCCAGCCAAGGCTTTCCTGGAATCCGCCGCCAAGCCGCTGGCAGGCACACATACGCACACATGTGCAGGTTCACACGCACACACGCACACACACACATAAACATGTGCGAACGCACATGCGCATTCTGCCCTCAGCCAGATGTCCTCTCCAGAGGGGTCTGTGTCTTTCAGTTTTCTTTCCTGTTTTCCATGAGAAGTTTTTTTCAGTGTGATACCATCAGATCAAAAATTGTGACTGTAAGAACATACACAATAATCAGTTCCCATTCTGATCCCTGTCCCTCATCCACCCTGTTTCTACCACTACCGCTCACACTGGTAACTATTTCCACTGGTTTTGTTTGTATCCTTCCAAACTTTCTTTATGAAAATACAAGCATATATGATTTTTTAAAAAAATATTTCCCACCTTTTAGCACCAAGGTACCTCCTAGCCACTATTCTGTATTTTTGCTTCCTTTCGTTCCTTTCCTTCCTTTCCTTCCTTTTGAACTTCAGCACCAAGTTCATCTTGGTGCGAAGGGCTCTGAACTGTTTCCGTGGCTGGTGAGCTTCCCATCAGCCCTGCTCTGTGGGATTAGCTTGCATGCAGAAACCACAGTCTCCTGGAGTGGTCTTCCTTGGTTTCCAGGCCTTTGCCCTTCCAAACAGTGTTTGTAACCTTGTCCATACCTCTCTTCACTCACATCTGTGCACATCTGTAGGAGACATTCCCAGAAGTGTGGTTATGCAAGATCAAAGTGCATGTGCATTTGAAATGTTTAGAAATCTCGTGACTGCCTTCAGCTTCCTTGCTTGCTCGTCCTGAGCTTCAGGGATCTTAGTCCTTTGGAGAGGATCCTTTCAACACCTTTGTTCCCAGGAAAGGTGAGGCCTCCCTGGGCTTAAGGTGTGATTTTCTCCCCTCACTCTGATCACTTTGGGGTGTTTCCTTCTGGCTTATGCACATCTGGAAAAGCTAGAGGGGCTTAAAAGCACAGACTTAGAATACAAATTGAGTCTGATAAGTCTCACATCAGTCCCAGCTCTGCCTCTTACTTGTTGTGTGGCCTTGAATAAGTTAGTCAGCTTTGCTAAATTCTTAATGTTATTATTGGTAAAAGGAGGATATAAGCTGTCCCATGAATAACGTGAGATTTAAATGGAATCACGTAGTCAGGCCTAGTGCTCTCTAATTGGGACTTATTCTTAGTCGTATGATATATTGACTTTCTCCGTCTTGGGGTCCCTTTCCCACTTAAAATTCTTCCGTGAGCATTTTAACACACACTGAGGTGTTGTGGAACAAAAACCTTCCTATTCAGGAAACCTGGAGTCAGGTCCTATTACTGCTGAGCTGTGATTTTGTCATTATTAAATCCATCCAGCGAGGAGGCATATTGGGATTAGACTCCCTTTTTGGTTCTAAAATTCGACAATTCCGTGGAACTGTAAACTACTCCAAGAAAGTCTGCATTCATGTCTTAGAATCTGTTTTCTGCCCCAATTCGAACCTACCTGCCCACTTCCAGGAAGGGCCGGCCCATGTCTGTGGCCTCACCGATCACTCCCTCACATTAGCCCTTGGGCTCTGTGCTTCACGGTTATTCCAGAACAAGTTGCTTGGTGCGGCAAGTGCAGGCGTGTGGGGACATGGGAAGAAATGTCTTATGTTTAGAAGTTAAGCCTTGGGTTAAGTTGGGAGAGGGTGTGGGGAGGGGGTGAGAGGCAGCCAAGCCTGGGTAAGGCCGGGCAGCAGCACCAGTGGGCAGAACACCATACTTAGCGTGGAATTGGGAGTTGGCAAGCTGGATGGAAAATTTTGAGAGAAAACATAAGAAGGCTTCAGCTGGCCTGGCTTTCGTCCCTCCTCCCTGCACCTCCCCAGTGGCCAGGAGCAAGTCTGGCAGTCACAGATGCCAGTCTTCTGCAATTGGGGTAAGGAGCTTGCCCCTTGATAGGAGCTCAACCAAAGAAGTGGGAGCACATTCATACTCCATCCGTACTTCCCTTCCAGCTTAAACAGACTTGGCCTTGAGAGGGTAAAGCCTGGCATTCAGCGGTACAATTTGCCATTGCCCTTGTTTGATGGAGATACTAAGAGTAAGAGAAGGACAAGGCCTTCCAGGGTCTGCTTCTTCAGTTCAGCTGCCTCCGACACAGTGAGAAATCAGAAGCAGTGTGTCTTCAGCCTTTCTGACCTCTGATGATGGGACGAGCCACAAGCCCCCATCTTTATTGGGGATTGTTGCCCAGACACAGGGGTTCCCTCGGGCTCCTGGCCTCAAATCTCGGCTTGTCCTTGGGGAACGCTCAGGCCCTTCCAAGTGGTGGTGAGACCCTCAGAACTAAAGCAGTACGATTTAGGCTGGGTTTTTCACTGCCCATCTCACTTCCGTGTTGCCATTGGCTAAATTTATCAAAGACTCTTCAGTTGGCTGCCAGGAGACAAGGAGTAGAGGGTCTGGGTCTGGAGTCTGCTGAAACACCATGCCTACTGGCTGCCAGTGAGGGCTGGCCAAGGTCTACACTTGGGGGGGGTGGATGAATTTGATCCCTTGGGATTAAGTAGCCTTGCTAGATGGTATTCACTCACTCACTCACTCACTCACTCACTGTTCATTTATTAAGCATATATTTCCTCTGGCCCAGTCTTGGCCCTTGGCATGATCCCAACTCTGTGGGTGGCAGCTCCTTTCCACCCATAGTCTTGAGTATTTTCAAGAGAAACATAGGTAGAACCATTAATCCTGTTTCTGTAACCTCTTCCATCCTAGGAAATGGACCACAGGAACAGCTTTCAAAATACATTAACTATTTTTTAATAGATTGAACCTATTTCAACTTATACAGAATAGGTTACTTCTAGAAAGGCAGTAGTAAATTACCTCTATGGCTCAGATTTCTACTACTCATTGCCTCAGGCATTCCCAAGGGCACTGCAAATAATGGTTGCTTACTTTTCCAGAATATTTTGCATTTAGAAGCACACATTTTGAGACACCTTGTCAGTGCCACATATTGCCAGGTATAAATAAAGTTCCAGAGATGAGCCAGACCTTTTCCACACATGTTCATAAACAACTTCGAGACAAGGCAGATCTGATACAAAAAAGTACAGACGAAACCCAGGACTGGAAAGATCATTTCCTCTGGGGAAATCAGGAGTGATTTCTCAGAGGAGTTTCTCAGTTAAATTTCCCAAGCTTGTCCCAATCCTAAGAATGACCTGGGGGGCTTATGTAACATATGGATTCTCAGAGCCCCCTCCCAAGATTTTCTAAATCATAATCTGCAGAGAGGAAGACCTTGAGAGTCTGTATTTTCAACAAGAGCCCCAATAGGCTCTTTAAAAACAAACAAACAAAAAACCAGGCTTTTAAAAAATTTTTTAATTTAATTTTTTTAAAAAGGTAGTTATTGAGCACTTACTATGTCACAGGACTCTTCTAAGCACGTTACCTGTATTTATTCACTCAGTCTTCACAGCAACCCTGTGAGGTGGTGCTGTTTTTACCTGTGAGGACATTGAGGCCCAGAAATGGGTAAGGGTCGAGGGAGACCTGAGAAGGATAATTCAAGTTTGACTTGGAGCAGAGCTGTGGAAACGGAGAGCTTGAGGACGCAGGCGCCACCTGCTGGCCGCCCAGGGAAACCCCCCGTCCCCCTCTCCGTTGGTGCGAGAGCATCCGTTCTAGTGCCTCCAGCGGCCACTGATGCAGACTGACCTTTCCCGCTCAGCCCTCCTGGAAAGTGTTGGTGATGGAGGCCCACACAGGCTGTGGTGTGCTGGGCCCCCTGCTGCGCCCCTGGCTGTCCCTCCCTCAGGGTCACTGCCAAGATCCATGGACTCACCACAGGTTGTGAAATGGTAATTAATATGTGGTGAGCACCTACTGCGTGTCAGGCATAATGCTTTACAAAAGTTCCTTCGATCTTAATGACTCTATGAGGTAAGGACAGATAAAGAAAGCAGGGCTCAGAAAGATTAAGTACTGTGCCCAAGGTCACACAGCTGTAAAAGGCAGAGACAGGATCCACATGCAGCTCTTCCCTTCTTCATGATGGCTCCCATTAGAAGAGAGAAGGCCCTTGGAAGAGGATGGGCCCAGAACAAAACCTACCCAGCCTTGCTCAGCTGGTGGACATACAGGCCATTGCAGAACAGAGCTTACTGACGTCTGCATGCTGTAAAAGTCACCAGGGAAATGCTTTAAATTTTCTGAGCAGCAAGGAAGGAAGGTGGGTCAGAGGACTGGGACAGGGGAACGGAAGGGACCCATGTCACTCAGGTGACAAGGCCATGCGTTTGCACTGAAGGGCAGTATGCTGCTGGCTATAGCCTCTGGGCCAGTTCTTAGTGGAGGATGCCTGCTGTGGGCCCCAGAAACACCTGGGTCAGGGTCCAGAGTCTATGCAGTCAGAGCAAGGGAGCAGGCAAGACGAGTTAGTTGTGGCTGGAAGGAGTAACTGATGCCATAGGCCTGGCTAGAGGAGGCAAATGTAATGGGTTGCAGCCGATGAATGTCAGAAAATGTGCTGGGGCTCCTTATTATTGAAGCTATTTTTCTTTTTTCTTTCTTTTTTTTTTTTTTAAGATTTTGTTTATTTATTTGACAGGCAGAGATCACACGTAGGCAGAGAGAGGGGAGGAAGCAGGCTCCCTGCCAAGCAGAGAGCCTGATTCGGGGCTTGATCTCAGGACCCTGGGATCATGACCTGAGCCAAAGGCAGAGACTTTAACCCACTGAGCCACCCAGGTGCCCCTTCTGAAGCTATTTTTCTGTTTCTGGATGTGTGGAACAAATGCTGTGGGTGTTATGAGTCTTTCAATGTAAATTCTCCCTGACTAGAATACATAGCTGGGGTACAAGAACGAGCCCTTACACATCTGTGGTCATTCAGGGAAGGAGGCCGCCTGGTGGTTACCCTTTTTGTCAAGCCAAAGAGATTATGTCTAACTCACTCAGCTCATGATCACCTCTGAAACTGCCCAGCCCGGATGCTTCCTTGAGTCCCCCAGCAGCTTAGTGGGCATGAACAGTGTCCCCCACCCCAGCAGGAAATCAGGAGGCCCTGGCCCTCCTCATACAGGGGAAACCAGGAAGAGCATAACAGAGCAGGGGCCTAGAACTCGAGAAGCCGCAAAAGTGCCCGGCCCCCCTCCGACCCTGGTCTTTGCTGCCTGTCCCCTACCCCTGCCGCTTCTGCCCCAGACTGCCCTGGGCCAGACTCCCTGCCAGCCTGCTCGCCATGCTCCTGGGAACTAACTGTTGTTCCCGCCCCTGCAGCGTGTCGGGGGGTGAGCTGTTCGAGCGCATCATCGACGAGGACTTCGAGCTGACAGAGCGGGAGTGCATTCAGTACATGAGGCAGATATCAGAAGGGGTGGAGTACATCCACAAGCAGGGCATTGTCCATCTGGACCTCAAGCCCGAGAACATCATGTGTGTCAATAAGACCGGCACCAGAATCAAGCTCATCGACTTCGGTCTGGCCAGAAAGCTGGGTAAGGCCACTCACCTGTCCTGTGCCCACCCACAGACGGTGACTGTGTTACATGCACTGGGTGTTGGAGGGAATGCGCTGGGTTGGAGCTAAAGTCAGAGGTCATGGGGGCTGCAGAGGCTCCCATCCTGCCCCGGCCACCCACTAGGCTTGGCTTCGAGTCTCTATCCCTTATCTGTGAAATGGGTTAATGGTAGTCCCCACCTGCTTGAGCGGTGGGGGAGGGTCGGGTCAGGGACATTCATACAGGTGCAGTGATGAAAGTGGTGCCTGGCACACAGTGAGCCTTCGCTGTTGACTTTTGTTGTTGTCACTCTCCCCTCTTGCGCTTTCACTCTGGAGCCTGCAGCAGCCACTCATTTTGGTGATGGTGCCTGCTCCCATTTGTATCTTTCCCAACGATTTCCAGAGCACTTTCACATACTTGCACTGGGTTCTCACAGCAGCCCTGCAAGAGCGGCAGGGCAGATTTTCGGAGCCCTGGTTTATAGACCAGGAAGCGGTAGCTTTGCCTAGCAGGTCCCACTACGAGCCAGGAGAGGTGCTGGGCCTGGAACAAGGACCCCGGACCTGGATCATTGTTCCCTGAGGCCCCCATGCTGTTCCTGCCTCAGCTGGGGGACAGGTGCCAGGGGCCTTTGTGTCCAGCCCTGCAGCCGTCTCGGTCTGTGATGTCTGCCTCACGACCTGCCCACGTGCCCCCTGCCTGCTTCACTCTTTGATGTCTCAGTAAGTGACAAAACAGCCTCACCCTCTATCCCCTGACCCCTGCGCTGTCACCAAGAAGCTGAGGGCTGGCGTAGACTGGCCTTTCACCACCCCAGGGGCACTTGGTGCCAGGGCACCCAATTACAAAGGGGTCACTGAGGCAGTGAGGTTCTGCTAGGCTCTGACTTGCTGTGCTCCACCCACTGAAGACGTGGTGTGGAGGCAGCAGCTGGTGCACAGGGCCCACCTTCAGGCAGGAACCACTCACAGTTTGAGCAGATAGGGTGCTTCTGGCCCAAGGGGCTGGTAGCATTAGAGCCCCAGTGACACAACATGCAGGCTCCCGCGGTGAGAGATACGTGGAGATAGCGTGTCTCCCATGGCCTTGAGAGCTGGGAAGTAATAGCGTGTAGCTGGAAGGGTTCAGGTTGGAGGGGAACAGAGCTGTTGCATCTGAAAGCTCTTCAGTCGTCTGTCTTTGAGCATTTGCTGTGGGCTCTGTAGTGACACAGAGCAGATGTGGTCCACAGGCCAGACGTCTGCCACCCCACACTGTGGACGAGATCCTCCAGGAGATGGTACCATGCAGTGGACATCCTACTGGGCATCTCTGGTCCTTTCCGGCTGAGTGACAGCAGCCTGGGGTTAAGGTCTTTCCTGGCTATCCCCTGGTAGCTCCGGGAGGAGAGGCAGGTGGGGGCAAGGGGTTATAGCTTAGGAGTGGGACTAACTGGGCTTAGGTCCTGACCCCCACTGTTAAATGTGGGTAAACCACTTGACTGCTCTGGGCCTCCCTTTCTTCCTCAGGAACAGGGATGTCATGCTGCCTTCAGGTCCTCGAGAATATTGAACAGGGAAGTCCTTATGAAACAGGCAGCAGGGTACAGAGGACATAGAGAATGTTAGGGATTATTGCCAAGCACAAGTCACAGTCCCTTCTGGGAATGCTTGGGAGAGATAGACATGTGAAAAACCATGCTGGGGGTGGGGGGTTGGTGGCACCTGGGTAGCTCAGTTGGTTAAGCCACTGCCTTTGGCTCAGGTCAGGATCCCAGAGTCCTGGGATCAAGTACCATATTGGGCTTCCCCTACTCTGCAGGGAGCCTGCTTCTTCTGCCTGCCACTCCCTCTGCTTGCTCACTTTCTCTCTCTCTCTGTCAAGTAAATAAATAAAATCTTAAAAGAAAGAAAGAAAAACCATGTGGGGTGCAGGGGCTTCCACGGCCTCCCCTCCCCGTCCCACCCCACCCCCGACACTGACAGGAAGTGCATGGTCTGTCAGTTTCACCAGGGCATTGTCACACCAATTCCCAAGGAGGCCAGGTTTCTCTGCGCCATTCTCAAGGGGAGAGCACCCAAGAGCCAGGCGTTGTCTGTGTCCCTCCCATGCACACGGATGGCGTTCACTTAGCATGGGTTCCTCCTGAATGTTCTGGTGATTGATCCCTCTCCATCCTGGTTACAGAGAATGCGGGGTCTCTGAAGGTCCTCTTTGGCACCCCGGAGTTTGTGGCTCCTGAAGTCATCAACTACGAGCCCATCAGCTATGCCACAGACATGTGGAGCATTGGAGTCATCTGCTACATCCTGTGAGTCTCGGGCATGTGAGGGAGGGGCAGAGAGCCCCACAGGAGGGTCTTGGGCTGCCCTGCCACTGAAGGGGCTAGTGTGGGTGTTGGTGGAGAGCCCACCTCAGAGTCAGGAGGGCAGCGGCTCCTATCCCTCTCCCACCAGCCTGTCCCACTCCGGTTTGCCCGGTGGAGTCAGCAGCCCCTGTTGCGATCCTGTCGGGGTGGCTAGCGCTGACCCTGACACCCCATCCTGGGCCCGTCACTGTCCCTCATGCTGACCAGGCTGGGGTCTTCAGTCAGGAGGGTGGTGTGGGGCTGGTGCCACGTAATTTACCCTCGCTTGTGTAGGTGGGTCCATGGAGAGGGAGGCAGGGAATGCAGGTGCACCTCTGTGGGCATCATCATTGTCTTCAGAAGACAGCACCCCATCCTCATGGCAGGGGGACCCCAGCGACCAGCCTCATCCCTGAGTCCAGTATATGAGCCCGTTATAAGCACTTCTGATGAGAGAGCCCTCAGCAGACAACAGAAAGCCACGCAGGAATCGGAATTGGGGAATCAGGTGGACAATATGAAGCCACTTTGCTTAACGATGGCAGGAATGCCCACCAGAGCTCTGGGACCAGTCCTAGACACGAATCACCTAGGCCTCTCCGTAGACTGCAGATTCTGCTTCGGGAGGTCTGGGACAGCCTAGAATCCACGTTTCTAACAGCTTCTAGGCTGCCAGTAGTGCTGGTCCAAGGACCACACTTTGCTGACTAGCAGGCTCTAGAACACACACCTTGCGGGGGTTCTCACTGACTTAGTCTCCGAAACCCCAGGCTGCAGACAGTCCTTAACCTCAGAGGCAGCCGCTGGGTTTATGGGGCAACACACAGTGATGGGATGGTTTCCTGAAGACACAGATAGGCGCGCGTTCATTTCGAAAAGTGAACATATTTCTGTTGTTGAAGTGAAAGGAAAAGTTTAATGTCCTCATAGAACACTTGAGGAGGACCAAAGAAGCTTTCTTTGCCCCCTGGGGTCTTCCGAGCCAACTGACAAACGGCTCTAGGAGATTGTGCTGCACAGTCAGCTTCAGGAACCGCTGGTACAAAAGCTTGAGCAGAGATGGAGTGATTTTGTGTGTGTGCAGAGTGAACTGACCAAGATTACTTGGTGTCCCCCTTTCTCACACCCCCCCTCAGGGCCAGGAATTTTCATTCTTTTCTACCTGTTCAGGAGTTTGATTCTCACTGTGGCCTGTCAGGACAGCCTCCCTCAGTAACACCTGGGTCGTGGGCTCTGTAGCCCAGAGAGTCCTCTTCTTCCTTGTTCGGGGTCCCCCCACCTCCCCCAAAGCAGCACACAAGAAGCTCCCTAGCCAGGAGCGCGTGTGCCTGTTTCCCCCTCCCCTCCCCTTACCCCAGGAGAAAGGGAGCTGTTGGCTAGTGGAAGCTGCGGTGACCCTGTCCTCCTGGCTCCCTTGGTAGATAGGGAATTAGAGCAGAGCTTTGGGCCCAGCCACCCCTTTGGGGGCTGCCCCAGTCTGCGTGGTGCTCACGTGCTCCCACAGCAGCTCTGGCCCTGGGGGAGACACCTGGCCCTTGAGAAACAGGCTGGCTCCATTTGTTCTGTTCGGACCCCTCTATCCTGTGGCCTGGCTCTATCCCTGGGTCCCTCACAGATTTTCACAGGGGCTCCCATCTGCTCCTCACTGCAAGCCTGGGAGGGAGTTGTGGCAGGGATCTGACCTTCATGTGGCTTGGAGGTGACCGGGGCTACAGGGGCCCTAGCCATGTGGGCATTCTGCATCTGGGGACAGGTTACATGGGTGTGTTCACTGTGAAAATGTAAGGGCAGTCCCTAACTGGTAGGGAGAGCAGCTGTCCTAGTTTCCCAGACTATCCTCACTTTATATGTTTTTAAGATTTTACTTATTTATATGTCAGAGAGAGAGAGAGAGAGAATGCATAAGTAGGGGGAGTGGCAGGCAGCGGGAGAAGCAGGCTCAATCCCACGACCCCAGGATCATGACCTGAGCTGAAGGCAGAAGCTTAACCGACTGAGCCACCCAGGCGCCCTTAGTGTCTCCCCAGTGTAGCACTGAGGGTCCTGTATCCTGGGCAGCCCATCAGGCCTGGGTGAGCCAGGAAGGCTGGTCACCCTCCAGGGCTGTGGGAAGTAGGCAGCCACGTGGACTTCCTTGGCCCTAATCACCTCCAATCCAAACGAAGATCAGATCAACTGTCCTTCAGAGGTCACCATCGTCCTCAGGTCTAACACCCTACTGCAGTTTTGCCTGTCCCTGAACTTTGTATAAATGGAATCCTACGGGAAGATGTGTCCGGCTTCCTTTGCTCAGCGCTGTTGGTGAGACCCACTGATGTCACTGTGCGTGGTGCTAGATTGTTCGTGCTCACGCTGTGTAGCGTTCTGTTGTGTGACCCTCATCTGGTCTGTCCCATCTGCACTGCTGGGTTTTAATAGATGCGCATCGTGGGTATTCCAAGTATTCTGGTGCGTGTTGGGTGTACATTCTAGAACTAGAATCATTGAGCCATAAGAGCACTTTATTTTAAAATGCCAATTCTTTTAGGTGGAGGAACATCATAATCTGGATAATATGTTCTATTGCTTTACCAGGTTTCTTTTAAGGCTAAGACCAAGAAATAGGGAAGACCTTTTTGAAATGGGAAGAAAATAATTCTGATGAAAGGGGCATCACGCGGAAGGTGTTTGGCCAGCAGGGTGCACGGAGAGGGGAGAGCTGTGTGTGTGCCAGGGAGGCCAGTGCAGGCCAGGCAGTCCAGTGCGGACCAGGCATAATGGACGCAGGTCAGCTCTATCCCCTCAGTGTCTAGGCTCCTGCACACACCACGGCGGGCTGCTCTGCCCTCTGGGGCTTTTCCTTGTTGGCTCTCATAATGGGGAGAGGACTGGAAGCTCCCCTCCTGAGTGAGGGCTCTCAGCAGAGCACGTGGGACCCAAAACAAAAGTGGGAGCCAGCCAGGCCCTTCCTTTCAGACCCTGCTGTGCAAAATTCTAGAGTAGCAGCTGCTGGAAGTTCCTGGAAGAGGAGCTGTGGTAGTCTTCATGTACCCTCTATCCCTCTCGTTGGAGCTTCATTGTCCGTCTGATAATCCTTGTCAAGGCCACCTGCCACATTTGTACCAGAGGAATCCCCCATCTCCTTTCTGGGGCCAGTGAGAGACGGGAGGCCAGGGAGTTGGGGAAATACATAATAACTCATTTACTATTTAACACATAGTTGGTGAATACCTCCTAAGTAACCAGCTCTGTCCCGTAGGTTGTTATGAACTTCTTGGAGGAACTCCTCGAACCCCTCAGGGAGATCAGGGCTGATATTGTCCTGGCCTGGAGACCTGGCCTCGCTTCCAGGCACAGGAGAGATGCAGTGGGTGGGATTATGAACCCCCTACCTTCTCATCCTTGATTCTGGAAGGAAATGGTAGATTTCATGAATTTCCTGGAGATTTCCTGGTTTTAGGCAGGAGGAGAGAGGATGGGAGTGATCTAGGCCACACATTAATGATGTCCTAAGCCTTACCTCCTTTTCTAAGACCTCCTTTCCTTTCCTGCTTTCCTCTCTGTTTTCTGAGGACTTAGTGTTGCCTTACCACCTGTGGGGACACCAGAACCCTTCTCTGTGCCTTTCTCTCACCCCTACTCCAGAATTCCTTCTCTCCCTCCCCTGCTCCAAGGCAAGGTAAAGGGCAGTTACTGCTCTGCCTTCTCCCTACCATCTTCCTACTGGGCTCAGCAACAATAGGAAGATGAGCTCATCATTTCAGCTCATTTGTCTTTTTTTTTTCTCAAGATTTTACTTATTTATTTGAGAGAGAAAGAGCATGAGTGGGGGGAGGGGCAAAGGGAGAGGAGAAGGGAGCCCTGATGTGGGGCTTGATCCCAGGACCAGAGATCATGGCCCAAGTTGAATTCAGACGCTTAACTGACTGAGCCACCCAGGCATCCCTCAGCTCATTTCTTGAGCATCTATTACAGTCCAGAACACCACAGCCATCCCCATCCAGAGCCCAACTTCTAGAGACATCAGCCCAGTGAGCTAGGGAGAGGGCCCAGTGCCCAAGTGTCAAGGGCCTACTCAGACTTGGGTTTTGGTACAGGGTTCTTCAGAGGGATCCAACAGCCCCACTAAAGGCTGCCCTCGCCCTCCCCACTGCTGAGCCCAGACATGCTGTCTGATTCCAGCTCCTGCAGCCTCCAGGAGCCCTGAGACCAGACCCAGACCCAGCCACTACCTATAGGTTTCACTCTTCAGAGACTTGGGCTGCAGCTAGAGTGACCAACCCAGGGAGTACCACTTTCTCGGCCACTGCACAAAACGATACCCAGTTCTTCCTCTGGGACCTAACCAGCCTTCTCAGATCTTTCCACCACCCTGAGGAATGTGTATCTGAAGGCGCAAATGGGATAAAAAACTAACGTCTTCCTAAGCATTCAGTAGCTCTGCTGGCCGATGTGTGGTCTCTTTCACCGGCCATTCCTGCAGGAGGTCATCTGCTGCTCAAAAAACACCAGGAGGAGAGTACAGTGCAAGAGGCATTTCTATATCTTTCTTTTTTCTGACATTCTGCCCTGCATGCAGAATGGTCTTCTGCATAAGAGTCCCTGCCTGAAGTTTTGCTTCGGTGAGAGATTAAGAATTAAAAACAGGCGGCACCTGGGTAGCTCAGTGGGTTAAGCCTCTGCCTTCGGCTTAGGTCATGATCTCAGGGTCCTGGGATCTAGCCTCCCATCGGGCTCTCTGCTCAGTGGAGAGCCTGCTTCCCCAGATCTCTCTCTGCCTGCCTCTCTGCCTACTTGTGATCTCTGTCAAATAAATAAATAAAACCTTAAAAAAAAAAAAAAGAATTAAGAACTGCCTGCTGTCATGACCTCCGTGACTCCTCAGCAACCATTAAAATTGGATGTGAAGACTTTGTATACACTTGTGAAGAGACAATGTCAAGTGACAAAAAAATGGAACACCCAAAAGTTTGCCCATAGTGATTACAGTTTTGTTAAAAAAATAAATAAATAAGATAAAAAAAAAAAAAAACAGATAAATCTGTTGTTTATGTTGGGGAGGAAGAAAAAACTTTCCTCCACCCTCTTAGGTTCTTTTCTTGGAGGCCTGCAAATCAAACTGACAGAAGGCAGATTAACAAGAGAAAAAAAACAGATTTAATTATGTATATATGCATGGGAGTTCACAAAGAAATGATTCAAGAAGGTATTTAGAATTGGGGCTTACATACTATTTTAAAGAGAGCAAGCAAGTAATTGTAGAGAAGTAACTAGACCAAGGAAAAGAGGTTTGGGGCTTCTGGAGGAGGAAAGTTGTGAGAAGGTGACTAGGAAATGTGTAGTAAGTAAGGGTTGTTTAGCAAGGTCTGTTATGAAGATGAGTCTCATCTTTCTGGGAAGGGAGAGAACGTATTTACAAATGGAAATTTATGTTACCTTAATAAAGAGAAATGTATGTCCTGCTTTTAGATTGAAAGGGAGGGCAAAGAGCTAATTGCCTTCAGCTCAAAACATTCTTTATACCAAAGTGGCATATTTCAGAGTGACATACTCTGATCCCCTTCAGTTAAAGAAATGAGATAAAACTAGGAAGAGGGGTGGGTAGTTGTGTTTTTTAATGCTAATGTTATTGTGTTTATTGATTGGGTTGATCAACCCAACCATATGTGATCCTTATGCAAATTTTAGCAATAAAAAGCCCAAATAAGAAAATTTAAAAAAAAAAATCCTGCCAAATCCCACCACCAGGAAACATCACTGAAATTCCGACACTCTTTGTCATCATGCTCTGCATATATGGCAAGTTTTATTTTAGAGACGTACTCTTTAACAGGAATTCTGTGGGAGCTCGGCAGGCAAGGAGCCAACCAGGGCTGGGGGTATTTCAGATGGATGGGCTGCCAGAAAGGAGTGCCAGAGGCGAGGACACTCTCCCCAGCTGTGAACTTTACAGAGATTAAGCCCTATCTTTGCAGGATTACAGTCCCTAATTAGGAAAAGAGGTTTACAGAAGGGGCCGGTGCAGCATTCCGCAGCAGGGTTGTCTGCTCTTCTGGCAGTCTTTGGAATGCTGCAGGACTTTCCCCCTCTTTGTTTCAAGTGGAAAATGTAAAGAGGGAAGGAGGCACCTAGCCGACAAGCAAGAATCAGGCCGCTTCTAGATGGGGCTAGCTGGGGTCGCACAGAATCACAGAGATGGGGAGAGCTGGAAGCCTCTAGGAATTCTAACCCAGCACCCTTGGTGGAAAAAGGGGAAACCGAGGCCCAAAGAGTGTGTGTGTTTGTGTGTGTGTGGAAGCAGGGCAGAATGGCCTGTAGGTGTGCAGACTTGGGAGTGATTTGCTACTACACTATCTTCATTGTCATGTATAATGAGCCCCATGCCTTCTTCAAACAGAAGGGAAATCGGTGTTTTGCTTTAAGACATCTTAATGCCATCTGCAAAACTCTGTTATTCTAAAATATATTGACTAGGGTGAGATAACTCATATTGCAAAAGCTTTCTTCTTTTTACAAAAGGTATCGTCCAAGGTTTCCTTCGGTGGCAAGCTTGCCTCACAATATTTCAGTGGCTTTTGTTTTACAAAACTGAGTTTGCAGGTGCTGTTGTATTTCATAAGCTGAGTCCATTTGGACATAGAGACGCCTCCAGAAGGATTTGCGTTACTGTTTATGATAATGGGTTCTTAAGGATTTGGGGGAAGGGGACACCAGTGACGGCTTCATCTGGAAGGTTGATGGCAAGAACGCCCTATATTCATCTCGTGGGACTCAAGTGAGGTCAGGGCAGGACCAGCTACATAATTTGTGGGGCCCCATGCAAAAAGAAATGGTGGAGTGACTTGTTCAAACGTTACTCTTTCAGTATGACAGCAGCAGATCATTAAACTAAGAGCGAGACCTTCTAAGGGTGGGGCCCTGTGCACCTGTGTAGGCCTGAGCCACCCACGAGGTCATCGTAGGTCAGGGTGAATGGCAGGGGGAGGGTTGGTGTGAAGATGAGGTACACAGAAGTGAGAGATTAGGCCGGTAAACTGTAAACCTGTCCTACTTGGCTTTGAGATACTTGGCCTGACATATTTTATTTGTTACTGGTAAATGTGTCATTCCCGAGGTCACAGATTGGTGAGGCAGTGGGGAAGAACTGTGTAATATCTGCATCTTGAACAGAGCTCCTTCCTACGGACCAGGCCTCGTGCCAGAGCTGTACGCCAGGATGGCTTCATCGGCATAGAGATACTGATTAAAGGAGCAGTTAAGATCTAGGCTCTAGAGACAGATGCCTGGGTTCAGATCTCACTGATCAAATCCTTGGGTGAGTTACTTAACCCCACTCTGTGCCTGTTTCCTCATCTGTTAAAGCCGTGAGTTACCTGGGATAGGGGTGGTATTAGGATTGAGTGAGTTCATCTACTTTAAGCTGTTCGCCCAGTGCCTGGCACATAGTAAATGTTTGCCGCCATGGTGCTGTTGATGGAGGAGAAGGAGGAAGAGGAGAAGGAGGATAAGTAAAAGTGACCACTGTAGAGTTAAGTGGTAGGTTCTCCATCATATAGAGGAGGAGAACATGGCACGGAGAGATGAGGAAATTGTTCCAGATCACCCAGAAAATGAACAGACTGTGCCATTTCCTCAGCCTCAGTATCTCTTAGGGAAGCTTTTTGGTTTGACCTGAGTGCCTCAGGCTCACTGGTATAGGCGCAACACCAAACCCACGTTGCTGGTTCGAAGTCTGCTGTTCGTCCGTGCTTGCTAAGCACCCTGGGTGCGCTGGGCCCTGTCACTGCTGCTGACAGGGAGGAAGATGAGAGGCAGAAGGAAGCAGGGGCAGCCCGGTGTGTGATGAGTGCTGTACCATGGGACTCGTCCCTGGTGAGGGTGGCACCAGCACAGAGAGGAAGGGACTCTTCTACCCAGGAACCTTGGTGAAGGTTCTGGGCTTTGGGCAAGAACAGAGGACAGGGAGGAGGTGCCCTGCTGTGTCCTGACAAAATGTAAACTGAAGTAAATTCCTTCCCCTCAGACTCACAGGCAGGTGGTGATAAGAGGCATTGACACCCCAAAAGTTCAGTGAACCCTGAGGAGAACCACAAAAGCCTGGGGAGCCACACTCTCTCTCCTTTTCTCTGGCAGGAGGAGAGTCAGGCACAAGGGTATTATGGGTGCACAGCTTTGCAGGCCCTCACTCTTGACCTCAGTGACACTCGCTTGGTGGGGATCGTCCCACCCTGCCCTCCTTGCCAACACCCACGCCCATTCATCTGCTGTCCCACTCTTCTCTTCCAGGGTTAGTGGACTTTCCCCCTTCATGGGTGACAACGATAATGAAACCCTAGCCAACGTTACCTCAGCCACCTGGGACTTCGATGATGAAGCGTTCGATGAGATCTCTGATGATGCCAAGGATTTTATCAGTAATTTGCTGAAGAAAGATATGAAGTAATGAGTTGACATTTCCATCTTTTCCCCTTCCCCACTCCCTGGACTGGGGTCCGGAAGCAGGGACTTCCTTTACCCTCTCCCCTGAGGAGGGAGGGAGGGCAGGCACTGCAAGTAGTGGGGAGGGGAAGGGGTCTTCCTAGGCCCCCCACTCCCCAGTTCCAGACACCCCACTGGTCTTTAGAAGCACAGAAACCTCACTCAAAAAGCGGCCCTTGACGGATGTTGCAGGGAGAGGAATAGCTTGCTGTGTGTGAATAATGACAGCCCTTTTAGTTTTCTGTGTGTCAGTTTGGCTGTAGCCTGGCTGAAACCTCAGCCCCTCTTCGGGGGTTACTCGGGAAGTATCCTGTTTGAGGCCCCTGATCATACTCCCGGGCTAATCCGGCTTGGTGTTTTTTCCATATCTCAATGACTTAAGAACCACAGGCCTGAACAAGGAAACTTCTCCCACCGGCCCAAGTGAGGCTGTGATTTCAGACCGCTGGCTCAGCCTTGTTCCTGCGTGGCCTCTGGCCCCCCTCACCGTGCAGACTGTGCAGTTCCTCACCTCTGCCCTGGGGACTGCCGGGAGCTGCCCACCTGGTCGGTGGAGGGACACATAAAACTGTAGTGACCACTGGGAGGCCAGTGTGTTCAGTCGCATGGATGGCCTAAGGCCGTGAGAGCAGGTCAGACACACCAGGTGCTCTTAGGTGTTCCCATGGGAGAGGAGTGGAGCTGGGGAGGCTAGGGCAGAGGCCTCGGGTGTGGTTAGTAGAATTCGTGGGTGAGAACTCTCCAGGTGAGGGAACTGGTGAGATGACAGCAGGGAGGTGGGGAGGCGGTGCATGTGTGGGGAAAGCTGGCCTGCCCCAGGGAAGGGAGCAGTGGCTGCCAGGTGAGAAGAACTGGCCCACTGGGTGCCTCCCCCACTCTGTAACAGGTGGCCAGATGAGGCAGGGCCTGGCTCCAGGAGCGCCTCCCCACCACCACCACTAGCATCTGGCTTTGCCCTAGAAGGGTGGTGTTGAATAGGTAGGGTACCAGAGGATGAGAAGGGGAAGGGTGGCCCGACTCCACAGGCAGGTGACTGTGGGGTGCAGGTTCCGCCCTGTCTGCGTGGCCCACAGACCCCCTGAGCCTACCAGTTATCTTTTTCCCCACCGGAAGAAATCCTGTTTGGAACCAAGATCATGGTGCCAAAAGAGCAGAGTTGAGGGTCTCTCAGATGGCTCTGATTTTCTGGTTCTGTATCCACCTCTCAGTCCTTTTGAGCTACCTCAGGCCAAACTCCTCCAGAAGCTACATCCACTCCTTCCGTGAGATCATCATGGCATTTTGTTTCACAGCCTTTGTAGCAGAAGTAGGCATGACCCAGGTAGAATCTGGATGTCGTGGGGCCCTAGATTCCCTTTCAGTGGAAGTGATCCTCACTCTCAGGTGCTTCGTGAAGATGCAGACCTCCTTCCTAGTAACACTAATCCAGGATGGCCTTTGTCCATCAAGCTTCATTCACTGAAGATTTGGTAAATGAGGAGATATATATATATATATATATATATATATATATATATACACACACACACACATACACACACACACATATACACACACACACATATACATATACATATACATACACACACACACACACACATACACACACACGTTTTCTCATCTGACCTCAAATTGATTCAGTAATGAGTTGTGCGGCCCTTTGATGCTCATAAAATGGATTCGCCAAAGAACTGATTTCAAATTATCAAGATATTCAAGTCCCATAAACTCTTAAATGTAGCATCTCTTTAACCAGAAATCTCCACCTATCCACTTTTTAAAAATATTTTTATATTATAAAATCAGTACATGTGAATTGTAGAAAATTTGAATATAGGAAAATTAAAATAATCCATAATTCCTTTATCTAAAGATCACTGCGTTTTGCTGGAATTAGCAAATTTAATTATACTCATTTTTCAATGTATGTTAACATTGGTTCTTTGGGCTTTATTAGTCCTGTTACAATTAAGGTGATGACCCTGAATTATTTCTAGAATCCCAGAGCTTTCAGAAAGATTAAATGAGTTTGAGTGCAGTTTCTAAGGTTGTCGTAAGTCGTAGGTTTTATGTAGGACAAAACCTGACACTCAACCACACCATAAGACATGAGAGCTCAGTGATTCTCAGAGATTTCAGCCTAAAGTTTCACTCTTCCCTCCACCAGAGAAGGAGACAGAAAGATTAGAGTCCACAGCCCCCTGACCCCCTGTGACCAGTAGAATGACCCTACCCTAGAATATCATTCTCAGATGTGTCTGCCCTTACCCTTCCTAGACCCCAAGGGCAGGTCATGAAACTCCAGTTGCTTACTTGGTCGTTAGGCCTTAACACTTACCTATTCTGGGTCTAGTCAGTGTAGCCCAGACCAAGAGAGTAAAAAGACCAGGAGCACAGTGACCCTGATCATGGTGGATGAACTGGGAACAGAGAGAGCCCCGGGCTCTGCCCAGTGTGACCAAGGACAGGTGACCTCCCATTTCTGACCTGACCAGCAGTCTCTGAGGTCCCCTCCTGCTCAGAAATCCTCTGATCTCTGCCTCCATCAGAAACCGCCTGGACTGCACCCAGTGCCTTCAGCATCCATGGCTAATGAAAGACACCAAGAACATGGAGGCCAAGAAACTCTCAAAAGACCGGATGAAGAAGTACATGGCAAGAAGGAAATGGCAGGTAATGAAGGTGTCGCTTTGGACTCAAATGTTGCCCCTCACATTTGCTTTATTGGAGCTACCCGTAATCCAAAAATATTTACATATATTTCTGAGATAGTCTGGGACCAAGACTGACTTTTCATGTCTTTGTGGCTAGGGTTGAGCAACATCACCTTGAAGACTATTTGGCAAGCCTGGAGAATGTGACCTCCTTAAAGACAGTATGATGGCCTTACATTTCTTTATAGTGAAGGAGGAGGGCACAGGATCTACAAAGAGAGATAAGGTCCCCAACACCTAGGGAGATTGTGTGTTACTATGTGTCCTTGGGTGAGTGACAACCTTCCCATGCCTTCGTATTCTCACCTGTAAAATGGGGGATAATAGTGGTAGCAACATCACAGCATTGTTGGGAGAATTACATGAAGTAATCTTCATCTGGCCTTGGGAACATTGCATGGCACGTAGTTAAGTGTTCAAAAATGATACCAGTAGCTCATATGAAGGGCTGGCCATGTCAGGGAACATTCAGAACACTTTGTGTACAGTCTTTTAATCCTCGGAGGCAGGTACTATTATTTTCCCCCCTTTACAGACAAGCCGAGGCAGAGAAAGGTTAGGAGAGTCACCAAGGATCACGTGGCTAGTAAATGGGAGAGGATTCAAACACAGACCTGGCTCCAAAGTACTGTCTTAGCAATGGCACAAAATTGCCTCTGATTAATAGCAGCTAGATGAAATTGTCATCCAAACCACAGAGAACTTGTCATCAGCTATGTTATTTTTATTATCACTATTAGTATTACAAAATTTCTGGGCTATGGTTTCTATACTCTGGTATACGGTTTCTATACTCAAGGAATGTTAGTGTAATGGGGCACTGAAGCAAATGGACATAAAAGGACATAATGCACACCAAGAATCATAAACTATCAGTATAGCCTTCCATGGCCATATATGTGAGTGTAGATGGGAGAAGGGAGCCAGTCACCCCGGCGTTGGATGTGGTTGTGAGGAAATGCTGCCAGGGGCAGGACTTTGAAAGTGGTCATGGAACTTGGGCTCGAACAAGAGAAGAGGGGATACATCATAGACGGGAGAGAAGGTGTGGAGGTCCTCACCCTGATAGGAGCAGTGTCCTTTAGCTGGGCAGCCAGGGGAATTGGCACATTTAAAACTGGTCTGCGTGGCAGAGAAGGAAATCTCTGTTTTAGGGACAACTCGGAGACTGGTAATTTGCCATACAGCATGATTAAACCGTGGTCACTAAATCCTCAAAACCACAACTTCACACACAGGTGGAAAGGAGCAGAAGCGAAGGGGGTGGCGCTTAGGGTGTGTGGGTTTAGGGACCACTGCCCCCCTGTGTGGCTCAGCCAGGACTCCCCCCACAATGAGAGTCAGTTCCTGGTTAGCCCCTGGTAAAGGTTTAGGGGGACTTCTTGGCTCCCTCAAGTGCCAGGTGACTTGGAATGCCTGTGTTGCTTAACTTATCTTCCGGTATCATTAGGATCCAGTGAAATCAGAGTAACTAATGTTCTTAAAACAAAAAGGCGTCCACAAAATCAAAGTTGGCTTTATTAACGATCCTATGGCTGGTGTGGGAGTGGGGTGGTCCTACGTGCAGGGAGTCCCATTGGGTTTCGCTTGGACAACAGTGTGGGGTTAAGAGGCAGCCTTATCACTTCAGGTTCTCTGGGAGCATCGACACATCTGTTGATGAACCAAAGCCAGGAAGGATCTGAACCCAGGGGACAGGGACAGAGAAAAGGAAATGGGAGAGGAAATAAATGGAATTTTTTAGTCCGATGGGTCAGGGAACCATGATCTGTGCTGATACTTTAAATCACTTAAGTTTTTTTCTACTTGTTAACAGTGTAACTAGCCATAAGGTTTTCCGGAAGTGAGAAGGGAGAGAAAAGGATAGAATTCAGAGGAGGAATCTTTTTTTTTTTTTAAAGATTATTTATTTATTCATTTGACAGATGGAGATCACAAGTAGGCAGAGAGGCAGGCAGAGAGAGAGAGAGGAGGAAGCAGACTCCCCGCCGAGCAGAGAGCCAGATGTGGGCCCGATCCCAGGACCCTGAGATCATGACCTGAGCAGAAGGCAGAGGCTTTAACCCACTGAGCCACCCAGGTGCCCCCAGAGGAGGAATCTAAATTTCATATCTTCTTATAGGTAGCAGCGTTTGGAAATGGGTTTTCCACAAAAATAGCGGTTAGGTCTCACAAACATACACACGAAAGTAGTCTAGAAAATCCCATGCCATTCAAGATGTCCCTGAAGCATAAACTCTCTGATAATGGCTCAGCTGCATCTACCCATGCACATTTTTTACCCCAGATACAAGGACCTTAGCACACTCCAAACAGGGCCTTCCCTCTCAGGGCAGCTGAGGTTGTGTTTGGGGGGACAAAGTGCAGTGGAATAAAATGGGGTGGACTGTGGTGGAAGGGAAGGGCCAGGGCAGACATGGATAGCCCAGAAATCTCTATGGCTGCACAAGAGTAGGTTCCTTGATATCGTTCTGGTGTGGTTCCCATAAAGGGCCCAGGAAGAAGGAAGTAACATGAGAGCAAATCCTTATAAGTAAGGCAACCTGTAGATGACTACTCATGTCATTGATCTTAGAAGGAAGTTATTCTGAAAGAAGGTACATTTTTTTATTTAAATGAAAAAGAATCTTAGACATGATGAGCAGTAGCACTGAGGGTGAGTTGAACAGGGTAACGGGGCTGCTGCTTGTAAAACTGGAAGTGAAGGACTGGGAATTAGAGGCCTGTGGGCAGCCATCTTTATTTTCTGAGACCCACAAAGACTCCATCAGTATGGTCCATAGGCCCATAGAGAAGAAAGTTTTGACTCTGGATAGCAGAGAGTACTCTTGGCCATCACATTTGGATATTATGTACTTGTCAGGGGACGCTGGAGTCTCAGAGCTGTTGGTATATATGTAGGGTCTGTGATGGCTAGCTGGCTCTAGGGAGACCAAATTGCTCCCACTGTGCCAGGGGCCTCCCAGCTTTAGGCTCCTGAAAAACTTTCATCCTGGGAAAGCCCTCAGTTCTATGGAAACCCAGGAGGGTCAGTCACCCTCGCTGGCTCTCCCAAGAAGGGAGTCTGTGCAGCATTAGGAAGACCAGTACAAAACAGTGCCCGCCTGGAGCACAGGAACCCAGCCTTGGCAATTGCCCTCAGACAAGAAAAAGACTTCCTCAAAGCAAGGATGGAACTTAGGGAATTGAAACTTTCTTTCTTGATGTTCCAAAAATTTCTAAAAGTCTTAGTAAAACAGCAACCAATTTTTAGCTCAAAGGCCTGAAACCGGAAGACTCGAATGTACAGATCTCTTTCTTTTTCAGTTGTGACAATTTCTCTGCTGATTTTTTTCCTAAGTCAGTTCCCAAAGATTGAATCTGATATAGATTATTTTTAAGATTTTCCCTATTAATCACTTCTTTTCTCCCTGTTTTAGAAATTATATGCTGTGATACACTATCTGATGGAAAATTTCCCCCTATGGGTAGCCTATATGTTTGTTGATGTATATTGGCTCCCTTCTCTGAAATACTCTTATATCTGCCTTGTTCTGGCAACTTCATATTAGTCATTTTGTTAACAGAAGAGGAAAGACTTCCTTATTCGACACCACACAAGTGAAGATAGTCGTGATCAGTCACAATCCAGGCATTTGGAATTAGGGAGCCCATGGCTCACGGGGAGTGTTTCCTGCTACACAGTCACATGTATGAATCAGAGTCTCTCTGCAGAAGACTGGAGCTCTAGGGAGATTCAAATCTTCTGGTTCAAGAACATGAGGTCCACAGAGGGGAACTGATTTACATAGTAACGTCCCTTTGTTGAGAACGAACTCTCTGAATCCAGTAATTCCTGGCCCAGGCAAACCGCTCTGTGTTCGATAAAGGGAATCAAGAGCCAGAAGGACTGGGTCTGAGAGTTTGGCGGACCTAGTCTGACATTGACTCCATAGGGAAGGCTGTCGTGGCTGGTGCCTCCTCTTCTTGCCCATTCCTGAGGTCAGGATGACCTCCTATGGGACGAGCTGGGTCTCCCCAGCTAGCACAACAAATAGATCAATAATGTCACTAGGAATAGCCTTTCTCAGCAGAGCATACAAGACTGCCAAGTGGGCTCAGTCTGCAGGTACATTGGAGAGTGCAGAGGCCCCGTGGCCCTGCAGGGAGCTAAGTTGGTCCACTGTCCTCTCTTACCTTCTTCCTCCACCCCCACTTCATCTCCACTACCCCACTTCCAGAACTCTGTTCAGAGGGATGCAGCTTCACCATGGTGACAGAGGGCAGAAACATAACCACACCACAGTGATGTATGCAAGAGGGCTGATGGCCAGGGGACAGAGCAGGATGGAATGTCTGTCCAAAGTGCATGAAGAGAGCCACAAGGATGGCATGTGACAAACAGAAAAGTAGCAGTGGTCATAGCAGATCTCAGCTTAAACCACACCCCCCCCCCACACACACCCTTGAGAGTCCTTAGTGCCCTGTGATTCTTTACTTTTCAAAATGATTTTATGGAAATATCTTGGCTTTCCAGATAGTCCAAATCGTGAGGCTTTACTGAAATGCTTGAGCTGCTGCAGTTTATGGCCCAGTAGGTGAGTGCTAGCCACTGGCCTGTGTGCAGACTGTTTCTTTCCTCTCTTAGGAGCCAGTCTGCAGTGGTGTCTGCCCTCTGGGCGCACAGCATCTGGATGCCTGAAAAGATGCTTTGGGTACAGAGATGGAAAGAGTTGCTTATGCCTTCATTTCTTACCTTGTCATTCCACTGACCTTAGAAAAAGGGCAAAAAACTTCACCTGGAGGTGAAACCTTCAAGGACCCGTGGAATAGGAAGGTGAAGGAGTGGCATAGACACTATTGTATATTATAGGGGATTTCCTGACTTAAATCCTTATGCTTGGTAGAATTTTCACAATGCAAAGGAAGTTTTCATCTCAAGTTCTGGCATCCTTTTCAACAGAAATTCTGTCCTCTCCCGGAGTCTCTCATCTCAGAAAAGCAAAGTGCTTCTGCCTTTCATTTCTTTGGGTCCTTCTTTTTGAAGGAGTACATCAGGGAGGAACAGCCCTCTAGAACCTCACTGTGCATTCGCAGACTCACAGGCCAGTCAGAGTGTTTCTCAAAATCTCTTAAGTATCTGAATCATAAACAGAACTAAAGAGACCTTGGAGATCATCTTGTCCAACCCCCTCCTTATACAGAGAAGGAAACTGAAGCCCAGAGAGGTTAAGGAACTTGCCCAAGGTCAATAGAAGGCTTTTTTTTTTTTCTTTTTTTTCTTTTTTCCCCTTCACATCAGGACCTGTGGGATCTGTAGTAACTTTCTCTTGACCAATTAAATTCCTATCACTAGTATTGTTTTACGAGAAACAGCCCACTGGGCCCCATCAGCAATAAGTCTTTGGAGCTGTCTCAGCCTGCAGTTGCTTTATATAAACTATCCCTTTTATGGGAGTTGAAGCACAGTATGAAAAGGGTTTTTGTCTCATGTTGACCTTGTTTAGTCACATTAACGCACACATTGGTTCCAGGCCCCATTCCATTCTCCGAACATCTTCTGACACGCTGATAGTGCTGAGCAGAGCAAGGTTGGGCTCACTCCTCCGGCAGATCCTCGGCACTTGGGAGGCCCTCGTTTCAGGGACAGCTGCCTCTCCTGGGCTAGGCTCTTCTCCCCGAACCCCATTGCTCAGCTGGAACCGGGGACGCCACCTGAGTCCAACCCCGGTGTCTGTTTTCCAGAAAACGGGCAATGCTGTGAGAGCCATTGGAAGACTGTCCTCTATGGCAATGATCTCAGGGCTCAGTGGCAGGAAATCCTCAACAGGGTCACCAACCAGCCCACTCAATGCAGAAAAATTAGAATCTGAAGGTAAGGAGCTCCAGGAAGATTTTTCTCCAGCCAGCTGGTGAGAAAGGAAAGGTTGAGGGATGGGGGGACATTTTGAGGTTTTGGTCGGGGAGGGGGGTGGTTTGTTGTTTTTTTAAATAATATAAACTACAAGGATTAAGGTCTGAACTAATTTTAGGTTGCCCTGACAACAATTACTAAGTCTACTAGTTATTCTTTAATTGTTCAACATTAAGTTTAACTATTTTCAGAGGGAAAGTTATTTGTCTAATAGAACGAGATGACCTCCGCTATTCTCCTCCCTATATTTTACGTAAGAATTAGTGAAGACTTCATTAAAAGCTTTCTTTTTTCTCATTACAAAAGTGATATTTGTATATTGATAGGTAAACATAAAAAAAACCATATAGTATCTTTTAAAAAAAATATTCTTCCATATTCTTACTTCGGGTTTTTCTTTTAACAAATGAACTATAGTCCACATTCCTTTGGCATTTTTCAGGATGCTGAAACATGTCATTTGAATGGGGTAGACTGTGCATGACGGGGCTCCTCCTGGAGACCAATAGGGTTAGTTATTTGCACACCATCTTCGAGACACTGCCCTGACCATCTCCTCAGTGAAGGGCTTGGCCTCTTCCTGTTCCAGAAGCATGTAGGGTCTGGCCCTCATCTTCTTGAGGTGCCTCATTTCGCCAAAGACACCCCCTACCTCCTGCTGCCTGGTGTTTCGGTATCCAAAGTTGAGAAGCTGAGTCTCAATCCCTCCTGTGCGTAAAAGCGGGGTAACTGGTGAGGCTGCTTGCTGGGCTGCTCTGAGGGAGTCGGGGATATAGTGTGCAACACACGGGCCTGGTTCCTCCTGACCCACGCTCCCCAGATGATCCAGAAATAGCCTGAAGGGAAGAGAGAGGATATAGGAGCCCCCCCCCCCGCCCCCGAAGTACAGCTTTTCCCTGGACCAATCCTAAGTCCCTGGTCCATGGTCATACAATAGGAAGGCAGTGTAAGTGTGGACAGAAATCCGGGCGGGTTGAAGGTGCATCTAGGACCCAGCTCCTCCTTCCCAAGGAGCAGGCCTGCTGCTGCAGGAGGGCAAAGGGGTGACAAAGAACGGGAAGGCTGGTGTGGTTTGTCCTTCTTAGATACCCTCCACTGAATCCTGAAACAGCATGGAATGCAGCCAAAAATCCTTTTTAAAGATTATTTCCTTTTTCAATGTGTCAGCATAAGGGAAGGGGGGAGTCCAAACATTTCCGCAGTTTGGTCACAGTTCTCTCTGCTGCCAAAAGCTTTTGGCAGCAGGCCAACCTGTCCCCAGGAGAAAGGTGTGTTTGATTCAGTCCCCTAAGCTGCATTATTTGCTGAATTTTAGAAACTTAAAAAAAAAAAGCTTATTTTTTATTTTATTTTATTTTATTTATTTGACCGAGAGACAGAGATCACAAGTAGACAGAGAGGCAGGCAGAGGGCGAGGAGGAAGCAGGCTCCCCGCTGAGCAGAGAGCCTGACCCAGGGCTGGATCCCAGGACCCCAAGATCATGATCTGAGCCAAAGGCAGAGGCTTAACCCACTGGGCCACCCAGGCTCCCCCCAAAAAACTTTCATAAATGAGGGATGAGGAGAGAACGGGGAATGAAGAACTGATCGCATTTCCTTCCCTGTCTCCTAGAAGATGTGTCTCAAGCTTTCCTTGAGGCTGTTGCTGAGGAAAAGCCCCATGTAAAACCCTATTTCTCTAAGACCATCCGTGATTTAGAAGTTGTGGAGGGAAGCGCTGCTAGATTTGACTGCAAGATTGAAGGTAAGTTGTAGCTTTTTCTTCCCCTGACTACGAAAGGGGTGTGGTGGACTGGTGAGCCCTGCTGCGTGCCCCAAGCAAAATGTCCATTCTGGGCAGCCAGGCTGTGAGGACAACTGGGCGAGGAGTTGGCCTACTGCTCCCAACTTCCCCTCCTGAAGGTTGTTGCCATTTAGTGACTCACCTAGGACACCTTTGCCATTTCACATCCTTACATCAGCCACTAGACTCAAGTTAAAAGTGGTTTATCACGGACCTATTTGGCTATGGAACACACTTAACGCAATGAGCTTTGCAAGCTTCTGGGAAGCGTGTGAACTGTCCACAAGAGTCTTCAAAGGAAGAGTATGGGATGGGGAGCCGGTGGCTCTGTTGCTCATCCTCGAGCTGTGTGACTTAGGGTGGTGATCTAACTCTTCTGAGCCTTAGGCCTTTAACCTTAAGATGAGATCTAATGCCTGCGTAGCTCTGGGGATGCAGTGAGAGGACGTATGTGAAAAGGGGGAACCTTTAAATCCGTTCAAGATGTCATGAAGTCAAGGGAAAAGCTGTGGGACTGGTAAGTGCAGAGAGTGAGAACACCATGTTATTCCAGATGGAGGGAAGCCGGGCTCCAGGTGCCTATGCCACCTTCCCCATGCTTCTCTGCCTGCCGAGAATAATGTGGCTGTAGAATTGTGAGTTGTTAGTGCTCAAGGGAACTTAAGGGATCTTAGCATAGCGCCTGAGAAGTGAGCAATGTTGGTGACACAAAGCATTTCAGCTTCCAGATGGCAACATTCCAGAAAGATAGGGACAAGAAAAGGCAGGGTTCTTTGTCTCAAGTCTGTGACGATTGTGTGCCAGCCCAAGTGGAGGGTTAGCTCCCATTTCAGTCTGACCAAATAAAGCACAAGAGTTCATTAAACAACTTTCTCAAGGCTGCATAGCACAGGACAGCAGTCAGAACAAATCATGCCTCCCACATTCTAAGATTCTCCAGCAGTGTGACTAGATAATGCCTTTGAGGTAAAGTAACCCAAAGTGAGGAATGAAAAAAGGTTTTCTCCCGACTCATTATATCTCGAATTGCCTTGTAAATGCAGTGCCTATAATCATCTTACCCTTTTTCTATTCAGTTAAAAAAAGGTAGATGTGTTGCCTTTGCTAGTGTGAAAGTACACCGCTTAGGGACACTGCTGAAAGCTCTGGGGTCAGTGCTCAGAATTGTCACCATCACCACTGTCTTTGGGTCTTCTGAAGTTCTTTTTCCTTTTTTTCCTTTTTAAAAATTATTACAGCATACTGTTATCATTTTTGTACTTTTCTCTTTGGGATTATTTCCTTCATTATTTGCGTAGCTGACTAAAGCACTAAGGAGGAATTAAGGCATATGGCTGGAGTTTTGATAAAAACAAAATCTACTAGAAAAGAATGTTTGAATTCTTAAATTTTTATGTGTAATTTTTATTCTGGATGGGGCTGTAACTTTTTTTCCTATAAAAATATATCCTGTACATAATACATATGATGCATATATACACATAAAATATATTTTTACATGTTGAACTTTCCAGAAACATGACTAATAACATAAAATGACGCTGACCAATGTGGTCAATTTCCAGTTATTTACAGTTGGTAGATTATCCATCTTTGAATCAGACTAAGATGAATACTGCCTTTTTTTTTTAGCAATATTATCAGCTCCTCTAACTTATTATAGAGTGTATCATCAGCTTTGAGTTGTAATTTACATAACATAAAATTTATCCATGTTAAGTGTACAATTCATTGATCTTCAGTAAATTTACAGAATTGTACAATCACCACAATCCAATTTAGAACATTTCCATCACCCGCAAAAGATCTCTTGTGCCTGGGGGTTCCTGGGTGGCTCAGTGGGTTAAGCCTCTGCCTTCAGCCCAGGTCATGATCTCAGGGCCCTGGATCGAGCCCCATGTCAGGCTGTCTGCTCAGCAGGGGGCCTGCTTCCCCACCTCTCTCTCTGCCAAATAAATAACATCTTTAAAAAAAAAAAAAAAGAATCTCTTGTACCCATTTGTTCTCTTATTTTTTACTTAAACTTATTTCAGTTCAGTTTTTATACAAGATAAATTTTCTGTTTATTCAAGGAGAGGTTTAGCTGTAGGCATGTGGCTGGAGTCAGCGCTGTGTTGCAGGTCGTACTCTAGATCAGTGTAAATGTGGGACACAGCATGCCTGTAAAGTACCTTTTGTCAGGGTTTCAGATATTACTATTTACAATCTATGCCCATATCCAAATGTAAATCTCAAAAAGAGATGCCAAAGCCAACATCATGACTTCTTTCCTGTCCCCCTTTAATCAACAGAGGCTGCTTAGGAGCTGCTTGCATGAATTGATGTGAAACTTTGAATAACGGTTTCTGCAACTTGTGTCCTCCCCTGTGCTGCAGGATACCCAGACCCTGAAGTTGTCTGGTTCAAAGATGACCAGTCAATCCGGGAGTCCCGCCACTTCCAGATAGACTACGATGAGGATGGGAACTGCTCTTTAATCATTAGCGATGTTTGCGGGGACGACGATGCCAAGTACACCTGCAAGGCCGTCAACAGTCTAGGAGAAGCCACCTGCACAGCGGAGCTCATTGTGGAGACCATGGAGGAAGGAGAAGGGGAAGGGGAAGAAGAGGAAGAGTGAAACAAAGCCAGAGAGTAGCAGCTTCTAAGTCGTTTTACAAAGACTATTTCTCTAAAACTCAAAAAATCCAAGATAGTAAAAGCACCTAGTGTGATAGATTCTCTAGTTAGGTCATTTGAGGGTTGACTGTTCAGCAACAGCAGGTGGTACCTAGCAGCAGCTAATGAAGGGCATTAATGTGAATTAGCTGGCCCCTTAAGATACTAGCACAGCCAGATTTCATTTTGGGAAATTACCAGTAACTTGCCTGAGCAGTTGATGTTAGAAAGTACCCAAAAGAAATCTTTATCTGGGCAAAGTCATAAATTCCCTAGCTGAAAGCGCTTGTGAAAAATAAGGCCCTGCGCTCACAGCTCGGCCCAGAAGGTCCCTGGAGATGGAGATGTGTCTGTCCCAGCTCCTCACTCCAGAGAACGGCGTCTCCTCCAGTCTGGCACACTTCATCCTGAAAGCGGTTGAGCCATTCTAACTTACGAGGCCCATTTGATTCCAAAGTATACTGTAGACATGCAAACTTTTCGTTTCTCTCCCCTGTTCCACCCTCCAGTTTTGCTGGCTCTGAACTTACCAGGAGTTTAAGCCCTAAGGATGTGATGCTTCTTAGGTGCTGAAAGACCGGTCTCCTGCTCCTGGATGGCTGGCTTCCTTAGGCAAATAGAATCTCTTTTCCAAAATCAGTAGGAAATCTAAACTTATCCCCTCTTTGCAGATGTCTAGCAGCTTCAGACATTTTTGTAAGAACCCGTGGAAAAAAAAAAAATCCTTGCTAATGTGCTTTTCTTCTGAAACCAGGATTCGTATTTGTGCGGTTACAGAATATCAGCTCTGCATGTGTGATAAGGATTCCTGTGTTTGAATGTATGAAAAACCAGTTTGCTGAAAAGTTAGTCTGAATTATTTATCGGCCACTATGGAACAGATTTCAACTGATGAAGGGCTGTAGAACTGCACGTACTTTGGAATCTCCTTCAGGGTAGTCTGAGTTGAACACACCTTCCATGCCACACAATCGCCAGAGAACTCTACCTACCTTATGGGTTCCACGATGTTTTCTTCTTGAACGTGCATCGGTCAGGCCTTGCCCCCAACCTTCAAATGTATCCTTAGACCTGATAAATGCACTCAGACTTGCATCTTTAGGAATTTTTCTTTCACTACATCGGCACTTAAATTTTTCTTTATAAACTTTTTGAAGGTCATAAACAAAGACTATAAGCCGATATGCCTAATACATTTCTCTGCGTGTGTGTGTGTAACATTCCAAATACCTTTTTCTTTTCCACTGTTTGTAAAGTGCAGCAATTTCATGTTTCAAGGGACTTTTTAATAGTTCCTCAAGAACCAATCTGAACTGACTTCAGTGCAACCCTACACAGTATCAACTTTAGAACTTTGATATTAGTCTTATGTTACCTTCCATTCTATTTTTATCTGCTTTTTGCTGCTAGTTTCAAATTTGCCAGTATTTTTCTTTTTGCTTTTTAAGCAGTTAAACAATTTTTTTTCATAATAGCCACAGTATTGCCACAGTTTATAATAAAGGGTTTTAAAATTTGATTTAGAGCATTTGAAGCTTTTCTTCACTTAGCTGTGTTTAGACTATACTCTTTGTGTGCATGTGTGTTGTCGTGTGTGCGCATGTGTGGTGTGTGTGTTTGCTGCAGGTTTTTAATGTCCTTGAAATTGTGTTAATGTTCTCCCAGTTTATTATGCCATCGGAATGGTAAATGAGAACACTACGACTGTAGTTAGCTCACAGTTTTTAAATAAAGGATACCACAGTGCATGCTGTTTGTTCAGTCTCTGCAGCCTTCTCTTTCTTTCTATGCCACCAGCTGGAGACTACCCAGAGCGCTCCTGGCTACGACAAACAGAAGCTGTGCTTATGAATGGCTGAGATGGTTGTGTTTCACTACGGAACAGAGCAACTTACAGAGATCTTGTTCACACTGGGTAGCCTAATTTGCAAATTTTGTGCAAAATCTCTCTTGAGCATCAGTTTGGTTCAATTCTATAGATAACTTCCATACATTTGCTATCTAACAAATCTTCATAATGCTAAGATCTATATGACATTTATGGCATGTGACAAAATCATCATCATCATTAATATTATTAACGAGGGCTTGGTTTGCATTTGTAATTTTGCTGCGGTTTGTTATTGGCAATCAAGTGCTATCTTTCTGTGTCTTGATATTGAAACATTTGTTAGGAGGAAATTCCTGATAACCCTCCTGCTCTATCGGAAATCTGTTATCAGATGGTGAGTCCCCTATGTCTTAGGGTTCAAACGATATTATAGATACTCTAGAAAGAATCAAGGCATACTAATAAATGTTGGTTAGATGATTCTATGATTCTACAATGTAGTCTGGAGGGAAATAATCCATTGTCCAATTAATAAATATTTAATTTTTTTCATTTTTTTTTAAGGCAACCACAATCTACAAGTGTTCCTAGTGAGGAAATTACTATTTTTAAAGAAAAGGACTTTTTATTCCTTGCTAGGGAAAAACTGACTATAAATATTCTGCACCAGGAAAAAAAAGACATTTTCTCCCATTCCATTTTCATCCCAAACACATAAAAATTCATTAGTTGCTGTTTACATTGCAGAACTTCATATTAAATATTTCTATGTATAATTAAAAAGACATGATGGCTATTGTCAGCTCTAACTTTATATAGTCTCTTTTACTTTTTAATCAAAGTGTTTTGAATTTTACTTTTCACATCTTACTGGTTATTAATAAATCAAAGCTAATAAGTATCAAGGAGATTAAGGATAATTGAATTCTAGAGAAACTCAATTCTCCAATTTTCAAGAAAATACAAGTAATACTACTGTCTTTACCCTGTAGGAACTCCTTCACTGTATTTTGAAAGGGAGGCTAACATCCTTGCTAGTCATTAAAGAGGCTCTTTTCCCCCTGGCACAGCATTGTGGGTCCTTGGCTCAATGGGGCTGTGACTTGTGCCAGGCAGTGAGCTGTGAGTAGAAGTGATGGGTGTCTCCTCTGGGCCAGAGCACTTAAGTGCTAGTGTAAGGCTCTCCCCTATGATTGGCAACATGTAAGATGGTGACTGCTTTATCGGCCTGGGCCCCCAGTCAACCCCCAATGGGTACATAACACAAGTAAGAAATAAGCCTTGGTTCTTATAAATCACCAAGATTTTAGGTTACTTTGTGGCTGCAACGTAATAGACTATCCTGTTATAAGGTCATCATCAAATTCTACTTCCATTATGACTAATATGGTAGCCACGGTCACAAGTGACTATTTAAGTTTAAGTTAATTAAAATAAATAAAATTTCAAATTCAGTTCCTCAGTTGTGCTAACCACATTTCAAGCATTCAGTAGTCACATGTGACTAGTGGCTACCTGATCAGACAGCACAGGTTAAAACTTTCTGTAAAGTTCTATCAGTGCTGTTCCAGATGGACTAGGGAAAAACGAGAACTCCAAATTTTACCTGAACCATGCATATTACTTTTCAAGTTACAGTGAAATTAAAACTTAATTGTTTGTGTGAAATCAGTCTGGAGGGCATGGTCCATAGTTTCACCAATTACATTGATAATATAGACTCAATACATATGTTATAGTTTGTGTTTAGCCATTTATATTCACACATATTTTCCACTTTTTAAGACATTTTAAAAGTACCAGTTCTATGCTCCTCACCACCAAATCTAAGTAGACCTGCAATTCAGAAGCAATTACCAGATTACTTGTGATATGAAACAACCAGCCAGGACAACAATCTCGGGTGTTTTTGGAACCCGGAGCTACCTGAGTTAGAAGAGAATCCAATGGGGCCATCTGAGATAGATGCAGAGGAGAGACAGGGTCACTAGGGTAGGATTTCCTTGACAGTGACCCAAAAGGGAAGTGGGAGGGGCCATTCTGACAGCTACAATCATTTACCTTCAGTGGCTTTGATCATTGGAACTGGAGACAGCCAGGAGACCTACAATGTTTGGAGACAACTTTAAAATTTCTAACTGCTGCTTGTTTGAAATCTTAGCCCGCAGGCCCTGCTGTGTTCCAAATGCTGACATTCTGCAGGGAGGGCTTCATATCAGAAACTGTTGTTGCCCCAGTGGTGACCACGTGGAAGTGTGTAATAAATCCTGACATTATTGGACTCTGGGACTAGAGTTCTTCTAGTTGGAGATAACTAAGAAAGAAGAAAATTATAAAGTAACCTGTCGATTTGGTCATTCACACTTAGTAGCTTCTTTTGGGCAGACGTTAGTAGCCTCCAGTAGTTAAGAGAGGTGGAGTTACAGGGCTTCTCCACAACCTTATTCCAGGTGCTATGTTAAAGTGAAAGAGAGCCTCAGGCCAGGTTCGTCAAGTACTTATTAACAAGTAGACATACAACCTATTCTGTAAGGTCCATGAAGTCCCAAATCTCTCTCCAGAAAGCACCTGACCTGTTCACTGAAGACAAACACTACAGGAGACTAGGGTAGGGCTTAGCAAACCTGGTTAATCAGCCAAGGGGAGTCGGTTCCAGCTGCACCTCCTACTGGAGCTGTGTAGTTTGTGCTTCAGTTTTCTCGTCTATAAAATTAGAGTAATAGCCCCTCCCCCATGGTTGTTATAAAAATTAAATGAGCGCAGGGTGCTTGGGTGGCTCAGTCCGTTAAGCACGTGACTCTTGATTTCAGCTCAGGTCATGATCTCAGGGTCATGAGATCAAGCCCCCTGTTGGGCATGCTTGGAATTCTCTCTCTGCCTCTCCCCACCCCACTGCTCCTGCTAGCATGTGCACACATGTTTGCTTGCTCTCAAAAATAAAAGAAGATGGATTTTTTTTTTTTTTAATGCGGGCTCCATGCCTATGTGGAGCCCAATGCAGGGCTTGAACTCACGACCCCGAAGTCAAGACCTGAGCTAAAATCAAGAAATGTTTAACTGACTGAGCCACCCAGGCACCCCTAAAAAATAAAAATAAAAATAAATGAGCTCATGCACATTACCTGCTCCTGAAAGTAAGCCCCTATTCTTCTGGTAGTCAGAGATGCTAAGATGTGTCAGAAATATCCTCTCTCAAGGAACTGATTATACTCCTGCAGAAACAAAATACACATGTGAAAAAGTTATATACTAATGAAAGATGAAAAGAACTATTTAAGCTCACCCACGTCCCAGAGAAGGATCTTTGAATCTGAAAGTGCCCATGCAATTGTACAAAAATAACTGCTGTGAGTTTAGGAAATGCTACAACTGCCTACTTGTTCTAAGGCAAAGTTTTAACTCCCAATACTACTCTCCTCTTCATAGTCACAAGAGAAAAGCTCATCTGACCTTATGAGACTTATTTTGCAATTAAGAGGAAATTTCTCAGACTTAGCTTGACTTTAATTGCACTATACCTTTATTCTAAAGAGTTCCACATTTTAAAGAAAGATTTATTTATTTTGGCAGAGAGAGAGAGATCACAAGTAGGCAGAGAGGCAGGCAGAGAGAGAGAGGGAAACAGGCTTCCCCCTGAGCAGAGAACCTGATGCAGGGCTCGATCCCAGGACCCTGAGATCATGACCCGAGCAGAAGGCAGAGGCACCACCCAGGCGCCCTAGTTCCCCATTTTCTTTATCTTCGATCTATTTGCCATTTAAGTAACATTAACTCCCATGAAAAAAACATTGTGAAGATCAACAGTTCTATACACAGGTACAGTTGGAGGGGGGTAACATGTGGCAAAATAACTAAAATCTAATTTACTAAATGAGGAGTATATTATGGATATATACACACAGATTCATAATTACCAAAAAAATCTTAACTTCATTTTCTTTTTTTCATGTAGTAATAATTTTTAGTTTTGGTGGTAACTTTCAGTTTATAAAGAATTCCTACAATAATAGCTCATTTGATTTTTTTTCATCATGGTAAGTGTACTCTAATCTCCATCCCCTATGTCCCTTATCCCTCCACCCACCTCCCCTCTGGTTACCATCAGTTTGTTCTCTATGGTTAACGGTCTGTTTCTTGGTTGTTTCTTTTTTTTTCTTTTCTTTGCTCATCTGTTTTGTTTCTCAAATTACATATGAGTGACATCGTATGGTATTTGACTTTCTATTATTTCGCTTAGTGTTATACTCTCTAGCTCTCTCCATGTTGTTGCAAATGGCAAGATTTCATTCTTTTTATGGCTGAGTAATATTCCATTGTGTGTGTGTCTATAAAATATCTTCTTTATCCATTCATCTGTCGATGGACACTTGGACTGCTTCTATAGTTTGGCCATTGGAAATAATGCCATAATATACATAGGTGCATGTATCCCTTTGAATTAGTGTTTTTGTATTTTGGGTGTAAATATCCAGTAGTGCAATTCCTGGATTGTAGGGTAGTTCTATTTTTAATTCTTTGAGGAACCTCCATACTATTTTTCACAGTGGCTGTACCAATTTACATTCTTACCATCAGGGCAGGAGGGTTCCTTTTTCTCCACATTCTTACCAATGCTTCATTCTAGTAAGGATAATACATAATAATAAAGGGGACAATCCAACAACAGGATATAATATTTGTAAATATTTATGCACCCAAGATAGGAGCACCTAAATACACAAAACAGTTAATAACAAACACAAGAGAAATAATCATTATTAATATAATAATGGGGGACCTTAACACCCATTTACATGGATGGATAGATAATCCAAAGAGAAAATCAACAAGAAAATAGTGTCTTTGAATGACACACTAGACCAGATGGATTTAACAGACATATTCAGAACATTCCATTCTAAAACAGCAGAATACACATTCTTTTCAAGTGCACAGGGAACATTCTCCAGAACAGATCACATATTAGGCCACAAAACAAGTCTCAGCAAATTCAAAAAAACTGAAGTCATTCCATGCATCTTTTCTGACCACACTCTATGAAACTAGAAATCAACCACAAGAAAAAAATCTCTAAAGAGCATAAATACAAGGAGGTTAAATAACATGTTATTAAACAATGAATGGGTCAATCAAAAAATTAAAAAGAAATTTTTAAAAATTACATGAAAACAAATGGAAATGAAAACACAATGGTCCAAAATCTTTGGGATGTGCAAAAGTGGTTCTTAGAGCTAAGTTTGTAGCAAAGCTTTGTACCTAAAGAAGAAAAATATCAAATAAAAAACCTAACTTTACATCTAAAGGAGCTAGAAAAAGAACAAACAAAATCCAAACACAGCAGAAGGAAGGAAATAAAGCTTAGAGCAGTAATAAATGATATAGAAAAAAAATGACATAGAAACTAAAAAAAAAACAAAAAACAAAAAAACAGAATAGATCAATGAAACCAGGAGCTGGTTCTTTGAAAAGATCAATGAAATTGATAAACCTCTAGTAAGATTCCTTTAAAAAAAAAACGAGAGAGAGAGAGAGTGAGAAACCAAATAAATTACTAATGAAAGAGGAGAAATAACAACCAATACCAGAGGGGTGTCTGGGTGGCTTAGTTGTTAAGTGGCTGCCTTTGGCTCAGGTCATGATCCCAGGGTCCTGGAATCCAGCCCCAGGTCAGGCTCCCTGCTCAGTGGGAAGCCTGCTTCTCCCTCTCTCATTCCCCCTGCTTGTGTACCCTCTCTTGCTGTCTCTCTGTCAAATAAATAAATAAAATCTTTAAAAAAAAAAAAAAACCAACAACACCAGAAATACAAACAATTGTAACTGAATATTATGAAGATCTACATGCCAACAAACTGGATAACTCAGAAGAGATGGATAAATTCCCAATATTTAATTGATACTTACAAAAACTAATTCCCATTGACTTGTACCTGACTACATATTAGCCACAGAACAAAGAGTGCTTTGTTAAGCAGTCCCGGGAAATGGCTGGGTAGGTATCTTTTTAAAAATTGTCTAGAGAGCTCAAAGCGGAGGGGTATATTTTCTAGAGAAGCAGAATACCAAGGACTTAGAAAATGAGAAGCTATTATGGCAGGAGTGGAGGCCAAAGAGGACCTACTGAAAATAAGCAGTCACTCTGCTCTCTTTGGAACCCATGCTAAACTGAGAGTAAAGGAATAATAATTTTTTAAAAGCCGTAAACTCTTCAAAGATAAATATGGGAGAAGAAAAATGAAAAATACCAGATTTTTGGAAGACAGAAAGCAAACAAATGAGTGGGTAACTGACTTAGAGCACAGAAGCTGAAACCTGACTTCCTGCAGAGAAGGAAGCTATAGGAGGCAGGTCAGCTTTGCCCTGAAGAATCCCTAAAAGGCTAGAGACTGGTAGAACCAGGTACATATGAAGGGGATCCTTAAAGGGAATGTAAGGTATCAACTCACAGATGCCAACCAAGGTCATTCAGGTCAAAGCAGGTCAAAAGTCCAACTAGAAGATCAAGACAGAGGTAGATAGAATAGCTAGGAATTAGAACAGACCAAGGTCCAGAGTCCAGGAAGTCAGTCTGAACATATTCATAATACCCATAAAGTGCAGAAAACAGCCTGGTCCTAGAGAGGCATTTGCTTGCTCAAGAAGTTTTAAGATTTTTTTTCCTTTTTTAATTTGACAGAGAGAGAGAGAGAGAGGGCACAAGCAGGCAGAGTGGCAGGCAGAGGGAGAAGGAGAAGCAGGCTCCCCACTGAGCAGGGAGCCTGACATGGGGCTCAACATGGGGCTTGATCCCAGGACCCTGGGGTCATGACCTGAGCCAAAGGTAGCCGCTTAACTGACTGAACCACACAGGTGACCTGCTCAAGCAGTTTTAAAGACAGATAAGCTCCTTCACACTGGTTGTCCAAGAAGCCAAATTGTTTAGACTTTCAATAATGAACCTTTTTAATGGATGTCTTACATCTTTATTTAAAATAGAAGCTCAGTTAACTGTCTTGCTAATTTTGGCTATTCTAACTGGTGTAAGGTGGTATCTCAATGTGGTTTTAATTTTAATCTCCCTGATGGCTAAAAACAGACACATAGACCAGTGGAACAGAGTAGAGAGCCAAGATATGGACCCTCAACTCTATGGTCAAATAATCTTTGACAAAGCAGGAAAAAATATACAGTGGAAAAAAGATAGTCTCTTCAATAAATGGTGCTGGGAAAATTGGACAGCTATATGTAGAAGAATGAAATTCGACAAATCTCTTACACCGTACACAAAGATAAACTCAAAATGGATAAAAGACCTCACTGTGAGACAGGGATCCATCAGAATCCTAGAGGAGAACATAGGCAGTAACTTCTTTGATATCAGCCACAGCAACTTCTTTCAAGATATGTCTCCAAAGGCAAAGGAAACAAAAGCGAAAATGAACTTTTGGGACTTCATCAAGATCAAAAGCTTCTGCACAGCAAAGGAAACAGTCAACAAAACAAAGAGGCAACCCACGGAATGGGAGAAGATATTTGCAAATGACAGTACAGAAAAAAGGTTGATATCCAGGATCTATAAAGAACTTCTCAAACTCAACACACACAAAACAGATAATCATGTCAAAAAATGGGCAGAAGATATGAACAGACACTTCTCCAATGAAGACATACAAATGGCTATCAGACACATGAAAAAATATTCATCATCACTAGCCATCAGGGAGATTCAAATGAAAACCACATTGAGAATGGCCAAAATTAGCAAGACAGGAAACAACATGTGTTGGAGAGGATGTGGAGAAAGGGGAACCCTCTTACACTGTTGGTGGGAATGCAAGTTGGTGCAGCCACTTTGGAGAAGTGTGGAGATTCCTTAAGAAATTAAAAATAGAGCTTCCCTATGACCCTGCAATTGCACTACTGGGTATTTACCCCAAAGATACAGATGTAGTGAAAAGAAGGGCCATCTGTACCCCAATGTTTATAGCAGCAATGGCCACGGTCGTCAAACTGTGGAAAGAACCAAGACGCCCTTCAACGGATGAATGGATAAGGAAGATGTGGTCCATATACACTATGGAGTATTATGCCTCCATCAGAAAGGATGAATACGCAACTTTTGTATCAACATGGACAGGACTGGAAGAGATTATGCTGAGTGAAATAAGTCAAGCAGAGAGAGAGTCAATTATCATATGGTTTCACTTATTTGCGGAGCATAACAAATAACACGGAG